AACTATTCTCACATCATGCTATTTGACCGTGAACGAGTTTCTTTTCTGGCGAAACGGAAGTCGATCGGAAGTGCTTCTATTTACATTCGTTAACATTAATGGGTTAGGGTCAAATCGTTTCTTTATTTTGTATAGGTTTATTTCCTATTTTGGGCTACGGTTTTGAAATTCCTAAGAATTCTTGCTTTCTCAAGGAGGTTAACTGTTTGTACTTAAGTTTAATGACTTTATATAAAATATTTTTAGAAAAATTCCACTTTCATCTTAATTTTATTTTTTCGCTAATGTTAATGTATCTTTATCATACGAAGCTAAAGTGAAGTCGAAATTTACATTGGCAAAATATACGCTACTGGAACAAGATTAAGGTGCAATTGATTAAAAATTAAATGTCTGTGAAGGAATGTTGGGTAGGGGCTTGAGTTGGGATATGTGAGTTGGGTTTTCAAGGTCATGAAAATCAAAACAACTGTGCTTTTTCAGCTTTAAATAACATACTTTTGATCATTTTAATCACACCAGACTCCTAGCAGTCTTCCATCAGCTCTATCTAATATTCTGCCAGTAGTATTTAACATTCTGTAAACGATACCTAATCTTGTATTAGCGGTATATATTCCTCAATTAGCAGTACAGTTCTCTATAAGCAGTATTTAGCTTTCCATTAGCAGTATAGGAGTATATTCTTCCATTGGCAGTATATAATCTTCTGCAAGCTATATTTAGTCCTCTCTCAGGAGTATTTAGTTCTCTCTTAGCAATATATTTTGTTTCATTATGAGTATCTGGTTTTCTGCCAACAGTCTCAAACCTTCTGCGACCAATTTTTAGCCATCCTACGCTTACCTATTAGCAGTATCTAGTTATCAGTAATTCTTAGTGACCAATCAGCAGGATTTATCTTTAAATATCATCGTGATATCAACATAGTGTTAGTTTTAATAATAAAAATCTATTTGAAAAAAGACAATCTAACTTTTTTCACTTCTCGGCTCCAAATCTGCCTTATAACTTCTCCAAGTCCCGCGGTACTCTTAATTAAATTAAATCGTGTTTCCCTAATCAGCTCTTTAACTATTTTCTTTGACAGTGAATCTCAAATCTTCCACAAATCCTTAACCTAATTGTTGTAGGCCCCAAAAGTATAATGTTTTTGCATGTCCTTTTATCACGGACTAAAATAATATAAACCGAGGCCATATTAAATCATTTTAATCAAAACATTATAAAATAAATGGTACCAAACTGTCTGTGACGTTATCTGCAACTGAAAGTAATACCGTTTATGATTCGAGGCACGACATCATGAACAAGTCAATTGACGGAAACTTGTTTATTGTTAAATTCTTTCATGTACTTTAGACGTAGTATGGTTCATTTATGATTCAAGGCATATCTAGGGTATGCACTTAATGTAGATACCTCTCCGCACATTAATTGAAAGTGACGGTTTAAAAAAATTTACGACGCATTTTAGTTGCGTTACGAAGGCTCGTCCAATTTTTTCAATTTAAACCAATTATGGAAACTGAACTAATAACAAGTTCAGAAACTTCTAGACATAGCGACGCCCGAGACTTACTTGGTAATTAATCGCACAAATTTTTCAAAATTTTAAAATAATGAAAATTTCTTCGCAAATCGAGATAATTCGTTTAAAAAGTAATTAATTCCAAGGTTATTTATTAAGGTGGCACCTTTGAGTAAATGATAATCGTAAATGTTGTCCTTTAACTAAAATATCTCCTTGAGAGCGAATGAATCAGAAGAAGGTTTCGATATTTTAGGGCGGAAAAGTTGCAGAATATGGGTGTTGAAAGTTGCAGGTATATAATTTTCAATTTACCACCGGCAATCCACCTTCCTTTCTCCCCAGATCACAACTACGTTTGTTAATGTCAAGAAGGAAACGAAGTAGTAATATTTCCGTATTGACAAACAAAACCTGACACCGGTGATTTACAAGTTATATCCTTCGGCCATCGCCCGTTTAATTTACTCGATTCAAAATCAGGAAGCGAAACCCCGCTTAAATTGTTCTTAATAAGACTTTAAACGATCGTAAATCAACTTTTTTCAATTTCATTTTACTTTTTGTATTTTTTAACCGATCCTAAAAGGCAACTTAGCAACACAAGAGCGATCTTGGGGCGGTCACGAAAAGGTTATGACTGACAGATAATGGAGATTTGGCGAACCCCGAAATTACTAATATTACTTCTTTGTTTTTTTATTTATAGAAAGATCGGTCTTCTCCTTCATCCAGGTAGGTACAGTATAACAAACGACTTCGCGCGTCGTTAAAAAGTTGCGGCTGTAGCCCGTGGCGGCTAATTATCGCAGATAATTGGACTGCGAAGAAGAAGTGGTAGAAGAGTGGTTCGCGAAAAAGGCCATCAAACGCTCTCGGGTGAGTCATCCGTCTTTCTACGCGGAGATGACATCATCGCAATTTTTAGAGACTCATTTCTTTTTCTTTGGAAAGATTCCCTACGGCGGCGTCGATTTGCGAATCTGCAGCTCCTTCTCCTCTGATAATTGGAGCACACACACACGCTCACCCGTCATCCTGTTTCGAATAATTGCATTCTGATTGCCGCAACGGTTACGGTCCATTACATCTGATGCAACGTTTGCTTTGATGATGCCAACCACCTCCCGGATTATTACCATTATGGTTAATCTATTGGTGTGTTGGAGGTAATCATATTTTGAAAGGTTTTCAAGATTTTACACAACTAATAAATGTTATAGGAAAATTTTGTTAATTAATAACTTTTTCGTCATATATGTAAAAAAGGATATATTTTTCAAGTTTCCGTGGTGTAGTGGTTATCACGTGTGCTTCACACGCACAAGGTCGCCGGTTCGAACCCGGCCGGAAACATCTTTTTTAATTTAAACTTTTCTTGAATAATTGTTTCTTTTTTAATAATAATAATAAATTCTAAATTTATAATACAAAAGCCATTACTACCATATTTTAGTTAAATTTATCTTATAGATAAACTCATCTACTAGCCAATCAGAGCGCGTAAAATAACCGTAACCGTGGTAATAATCCCTTAGATAGCTTAACCAGAAGATGGTAGTAACGAGCCTAAATAAATTAATAATATGAAACGCATTATATCTCGGAAAAATATTTTAATGGGGTTAAAAGGTTTGTTGCTAATATCATGTTACACAAACACAAACACATTAGACCCGAACGTCAACTTCATAAACTTAACCTCAAAATTTTTCACTCAAATTTTTTTATTTTGTATTTGTAAGTTAATAATGATTTCACGATTTATACGCAGTTACGTATTATTTTTATTAATATTTCTTAAAACGTGGTATTGAAGCACCAAGTAACTCTTTGCTATCATCTTATAAAATGGCTTACAGAATAGCGCAATCGTATAAAAACTTATTTCACTGACTGATGTAGATATAGTAAACATAATATTTGGTAAGTCTGCTTATAAAAGTGCATTTGTGCGATAATAATTAGTTACAATTAGTTACAACATATCTATGTAACCTTGTTTTTTTCTATAATATCTGCCAAATTGTTGTTAAGTTGGCAAGATTGACAGGGAATTATATTATGTCATATTTTGAATTCATTTTATGTCAAACTAACGTTTCAAAATTCATTTATGATTTTATATTTATACAGAAATAATTAAAATAAAATAAAATTACCTTGTTACTGAAAATTTAACTAGAAATCAAAAAAACAACATATTATTATGTTTTATAATGATCCTGGGTAATACCAACAGAAACCATAAAAATTTGACTTTGACAGGTGTTATTACAGAAAAAAATAAACTTTTATGTGGTCTATTTTTAACTATCATGGGCTTTCTCGAGCCATCAATGATGAAGTAGAAATTGAAAAAGAGATTGTAAAGCGATTTGATAGACTAGAGCAATGCCTATCTCTGGAAATTGCAATCGTGCTAGATCCGCGTTTTAAGCTGATTCATTTTAAAGATACGACTGCTAAAGCTAAAGTCTGCAGTTATATAACCAATTATGCAAACAGTATGCGAACAACGGTTTTAAGATCTGAGTCTTCTGACGAATCTAAAAACATGGAGTTAACACAAACAATTAACATATGAATACTTAAAAAACAGAACTACCGACAAAACCAAACTTGATTCAGAATTCCATATGTTTATATCATCACCAGTTACTCTTATCAAAGGAGATGCAACAGCAATTTGGGATGACATGCGATCATTATTTCCATGTTTGTATAAAATATCAATGAAATATTTGCCACTCGTAGCAACTTCGGTGCCCACTGAGCTATTATTCTTAGAAGCTGGCGCAACAATTACTCAAGAAACGAATCGCTTATTGGGATTTTTTGCATCCCTAGCCATCATTAAAACACATCTACAAAGCAATAGTAGCAAAGTTAAGACCTTTGCTGGATTATGGACATGTCCTAACTATCATTGCACCGAAACAAACACTTGACATAATCAATAAAACGGAAAGAATATGCTTAAGAGCAATAACAAAGATGCGCCATCCGAATAATCCACTATACAACATTCAAAATAAAAAGCTATACGAACGGATAAACGTCACACCAATAATGGAAAGACACGAACTTTTACGACAAAAATTTGTAACAATATTCTACGGTGGAAAAATCTGCAAATGTAGGTCCATAGCCTCTGTATGTTATAATGAAACCATGGAAAATTTTGTCTTCATATTATTTATGTATCAAGACTTACCTTAAATATTCACCTTCTTGATTCTCGAATACAATATATCCCCAACTTATACACAACCAGACTGATTATGAGCATCAACTTTCTCTCCTTTTATATTTTTTACATCGTGGCATCAGGGGTCATTTTCAATATGTGTGTAATTTTTAGAAACGCCCTAATCATAAAGCTAAAAATGATGGGGGTAAAATAAAAAATAAGAAACTTCATAAAAATCATACCCTAAAATGAAAAAGGTATTAATAAAATACTCTCTTTAATCCATATTAATTTATTTCAATTTTTACATTATTTAAACAATTTAAATTTCTTAAAATACTTTTGAACATCTTCTTTCGGGTACGGTTTTGTAACTAAACAGGTAGGTATATTTTCAGGCTGTTCAATCCACAGTTTATGTTTCACCCCATTCTCATCCAACGTTTCCTTCAATTTAACAATGGCTTCTTCATCGTTAGCTTCTAAAACCACTTTATGCATCGAATCCAAATTCTTTAAATATTCTTTGGTATGTTCATCATCGTAAAATAAATGCATTGCCGCTGTTGCCGCATGACACGATTGCGCTATTAACGCACCTAAAGGCCAATTTAATTCTTTTAAAAGATCTTTGCGAAGTACGACGTATTGAATTATCGTTGATGCCATTTTATCTAAAAGAATTAATTTGAATTTAAATTTAAAAGTGGGAAAATTCTGAATATACGTGGCGCCATCTTAAAAAAAATTTTTAAACCAAAATTCATTTAATTAAATTAAAACTTATTTAAATAAATTAAAATTAAATGCATAAACTAAAATTAATTGTTGTATATTTAAGTAAAACCAATAAATATTTGAATAAATTTTAAATAAAATACCAAAAAATTTAAATTTAACCTGGTGGCGCCATCTATTGGAATGTATGAAACATAAAAATCGATAACCTCAAAAATAAAAATTGTTTATTAAGAGACCATGAAATTTAACGTTGTGAATTGTGTATAATTATTGTTGATTAAGCAGATATTTTGAGATAGTTCGTGAATTTTTATGTAATTAATTATAAGATTAAAGTGTTACCTTATTTCGTGTCTGGTTGATATTTACAACATAACCTCAATCTGTAAAGAATACTTTCTTACAAGTTAGTAATAAATTATGAACAATTATATTTGTTGATTATAATTACTGTTTAATACAATAAAAATCACAATCTTAAATAATTATATGCAATTTTAAAAAAATTTTTTACTAAGCTTATTCTTTTAAAATTATTTTTATTATGAATTATGTAGCGCCATCTCTTGATTCGTTTCTAACTAAACTTTGTTTTTAAATTAGGAACCCTTTGAGTTTTCTTGCGGAAGTCACTTCTGGAAGCAACTTCCGCAAGAAAACTTGGTAGTGGACACACGGCTTTATAGGTTTGATTACCCACATCCAACCAATTTGTGTGTCAAGTTTTCTAGATTAAGAACACTTTGCTTTAACAGAAAAGCATTACATCATTTATAAAGAAAATCTAATAAAAATAACCAATATTGTTAATAAAACAGTCGAGGATAACATTAATGTTTTTAATACTATATCAAACTAAATTATAATGCTTTATTTGTAGGGGTTGCAAAATCAGATTTCTAGGTGATTAAATAATATAAATATACTGGTAAAGTTATGAGTCTGAAACACACAGGAAGGAAACTTGATATTGTTTTATCAAGGTTTCCCCAAAATCGTTTAGTTTTAAGAGAGAAATACACAACCATCCAGAGTTGCCAAAATTATCTCGTTCGTCTTTATATAAAGTAATGAACAAACAAATTTTAAGTAAACCATTACCTTTCAACATCAAATTTGGAGTCAGGGAAAGTAGATGTTCTACCAACTTATGTATATTAACATTCATTAAAACCTTGGGCTGGTTTTCTGATCCCTGAATGAGCTGTAAATTGCTGGGATGTACAAAGAGCCCACTAGGGCCTAAGTGCTGTGAAGAATCACATGAAACGTTAATTTGTATGTTTATAATTGATTTAAATGATAAATATAATAACAAAGATTAAAGTAAGTCATAGTATTAAATAGATATGAATTTAAATTTACCGCCAAAAATATTTAGTGATATTTTGGTGATATTCCTTAATAGTGTAAATCTAACTATTATATGCACTCCTTCAAGTTTAAAAGCAACGTATAATATTTAAAAATATGTTAAATCTCAATTAAATTTGAAAAAATTAATTTTGTTTGATGAATGAAAATCAAAAAAAATGTATCAACGAATATGAAGTTAGGTTAATTTAGTTTTTAAAATATCCCCAATAGATGTCACCCCGATTGTAAGTTTATTTTTTTTCCTCGTTCTTGAACCAAAACGTCATCGAACATCTAAAGTCCGCGTTTGCCCAGTAGTTGTTCCTCCTCGAACCATCCTACGTTTGATTTGTTTATTCGCGTGTGGTGATCTATTTCTGTGTTTAAAGGAAAACGAACGATTTCGGGAAAGTAAACGGGGCGAAATTTTTTAATGAGTGTCCCCCGTTCGCAGACACGAGAAGGAGGAGCGAAACCCTAAATGTTCTGTTGTTGGTCTAATGGTGGAGAGACAAACAGAGGTGTGTTTTAAATTTAACAATAACGCGTTCATTTAGCTAAGTAATAAAAATAATCGATAATAACATAAAAGAAAATGAAAAGAAATCAAAGAATAGGGAAATTAAGAAAATAACTCATCGATGACTCGATTTTTTTTTGTTTTAGCTTTTTTTTATTGAAGGTATCTATGTTACCCGCTTTACACATACATAATACACTCATTCATTTTACTTAATACACAGACAGAATACGACACACACATACACACGTACTACATTTTTAGTCTCCCTGTTAAGCCGCCATCTTTATTTCGCGAATCAAAGGCGTTGACTCAATATAAAGAGATATAAAGAAAAAGGAATTTTTTCATCGTTATTAAAGTGTGTACCATTTATTCTTTAATTTTAATAGTGAAAACAAGAGAAAGAAATTTAAAAACTAATATCTAAATTTTAACCTCTATTTTAAAAGGTCCAATGGCTGCAATACGTAAAAAATTGGTAATTGTTGGTGATGGTGCATGTGGAAAAACATGTCTTTTAATAGTATTTAGTAAAGATCAATTTCCTGAAGTGTACGTACCGACCGTATTTGAAAATTACGTTGCTGATATTGAAGTTGATGGTAAACAAGTTGAATTGGCTTTATGGGATACAGCTGGACAAGAAGATTATGATCGTTTAAGACCATTAAGTTATCCGGATACCGATGTAATATTAATGTGTTTTTCTGTTGATTCACCGGATTCGTTGGAAAATATACCTGAAAAATGGACTCCGGAAGTAAAACATTTTTGTCCAAACGTTCCTATAATATTGGTTGGGAATAAAAAGGATTTACGAAATGATCTAAATACAATTAAGGAATTGAGTAAGATGCGTCAAGAACCGGTTAAACCTCAGGATGGTCGTGCGATGGCTGAAAAAATTAATGCGTTTGAATATCTTGAATGTTCTGCTAAAAGTAAAGAAGGCGTCCGAGAGGTTTTCGAAACCGCAACGAGGGCTGCACTTCAAGTTAAAAAGAAGAAGAAACGCCCCTGTATTCTCTTTTAAGTCCTAATTATTATTATATTATATTAATGAAAAAAAAAACTTTTTTTTTTTGAGAAAAAATAATTAAAATTGTTTTTCAAGAACAAAAAAAAATATGATTTTTTTTTTTGATGATGATAAATTAAAAATGAAATGAAGGTTATTATTACAAAAAAAAAATCTCTTCTTTATTATTATAAAATTAAAAAACATGTGATTAATGTTTTAGTTATTTTTATTTTTTTAGGTTGGTGTCGAAAATATTAATTAAATAAATTTGAAATTAATATCACGTGGTTTTTAATTAAAAATAATTTGAAAAAAAAACCACAAATATATATGTATTAATTTAAACAATGAATAATTTGTTTTTAAAACAACCCATTTCATTTTTTATTGTTATTATTAACCTTAAAAAAAAAAAACAAGGAAAATTTCATCTGTATCTAGAAAGCTTAGCACAAAAAAACGAACCTACTTATTATTATTATTTTTTTCTCTATAGTAAGGTATTATTATTATATTATAATTTGTACTTCTGTCTGATTTAAAAAAAAAATTAAAAAATATATTATACCAAGCTCGATCATCCTTCACTTATTATTAAAAAACAAATATAATTATTAAATGTTTTGTATTTACCTACAATGTATAACAATGTAAGCGATGCACGAGAACAAAAAAAATAACTAACCAATATTAAAAACGAAAAAAAAAATTAGAAAAATGGATTCTTGAGGAATTGAGATTTCATATAAGTTTGTACGTTGGGTTGCTGACTACGTCGCTAAATAACTCGTAAATGTATAATAATCTATGAAAGGAATAAACGTTTTTTCTTACAGTATATTTTATTCTATTAATACGCGGTTAACCTAACCAAGTAATATCTTTGAACTTGAAAAAGTCGATTAATAAATAATTAAAAGATAAGTTTGTGGAAATTTATTCTAATTAATCATCAAAGATTAACCCATTTGAATCATAAGCTTAGATATGAGGGAATTTTTCCTGCCCATTATCAACAAAACGCAACAACAACAAATAAATGATTATATAAATGATATTTACACAATTATTACTACTTTTATTATAATTAATTTATTATATTGAACTAGAACAGCGCTAGTGTAAAAGTAGACGTAATACTAACCTTAAAACTAGAATCATTCGGGTCTAGCTTGGATGATTTTAGTTCTAGGTATAGTGTTAGTTCTAGTAACAATGCTAGTGTAAAACAAGAACTAACACTAGAACTAGAAATATTCGGGTTTAGCCGCACGTCTCTCAAGACGGCTAAACCCGAATAATTCTAGTTGTAGGTGTAGTGTTAGCTCTAGTAACAATGCTAGTGTAAAACTAGAACTAACACTACACCTAGAACTAGAAACGTTCAGGTTTAGCCGCACGTCTCTCAAGCCGGCTAAACCCGAATGATTCTAGTTGTAAGTGTAGTGTTAGTTCTAGTAACAATGCTAGTGTAAAACTAGAACTAACACTAGAACTAGAAACATTAGGGTTTAGCCGCACGTCTCTCAAGACGGCTAAACCCGAATGATTCTAGTTCTGGGTATAGTGTTAGTTCTATTTTTAGTTCAATAAAAATATGCAACAAACCTGACATTAGACTAAGTGGTAGAGTATATTGGGTAAGTAATAACTATCTTGTGAACTCGCCTAATGGAAATGTAAGTGGTAGAGTACAGTAATTGGTTGTAGTAGAGTAGAGTGGTATAGCACCGTGGTAAAGTTAATTATTCTACCACTTGCCGTCCCCCACCACAACTTTCCACTCTACTCTACCGCCACTACCTTAATGAACACAGAGTTGAGCTAGATGATCAGGGTTCATTCTCTACATTTCTATTGCCTTCTGCACCATACTATTTTCAATTTAAGTGGAAACAGGTACTCTATCAAACTAAGTAGAGTAAAGTTAGATTGGCTTAAAAACACGCTAGTTACTCTACCACTAATTCTACTAATGAAAACCCAGCATAACATCTAAAACTTGAACTAACAGTATCACTAGAACTAGATTCCAGATTCAACTGGATATAAGAAATGAAAAATGAGTCAATGACAGGGTTCGCCAGATTTAAATCACTTGATTTAAAACACGATTTTAATCAATAATTTAAATCAAAAGAAAAATAATAATAAATATATTCTTTATACAAAAACTGGTAAACCAGACAACTAAAAACTAAGACAAACAAAAATAATATATAAATAAAAAAAAACAATACTCATAAATTATAAAGTTTATATATAAATACAAATTTTCTGGTTCTTTCCACATTGGAGTGGACGAGCCGAAATGTTGTGAAGACCCTCTCTATTGAAGCTGAAGAACAAACAACACATAAACATTGTATAAAGTTGGAAGAAGTTTCTCAATATCAGGAAAGTTCTTTTGTGAAATCCACCACTGCAGTAGCAATAGAAAAAAATCGAAGATTTTTGATTAAAATAAAGAAATTGTATTTTTTCCCCATCCTGGTGAATCAACTTGAGTAAAAAACTTTGCGAATTTAAGGAATTTTATGATAAGAAGCTGTCAAATTTTGCTTTAAAACTATTATCACAAGATATCTCGATACTATTCTTTCTTCTGTAGGTGTAAATTCAAACGAAACACTAATATTAAATGGATTTTGAATTCAAACTTATCGATATTTTCACATTGAAAACATTTCTCAAACCAAATATGTAGCTGTGATACAAAAATTAATATAATACAAATATATTTCCATACTATCTGAAACATATTTTCCTTTTTAATACGAATCAACACTGTTATGATCTTTCAGTCGTAAAATCGTTTTGATGTTCAAACCTGAGGAAATGTCAATAAGTTTCAAAGAAAAATAACGAGACCTATTTACATGTAATACCGATAAAATCATATTAATACATAAAAATAGCTTCCAACGAGTGTTTTGATACCGGTTAAAGCTTTGTTAAAGAAAAGGTGATTCATGTTTATGTGCCACTTCCGATATAATCATGATTTATGACTAATGTTGATTGTGATGGAATTATTTGTTGATAAATAATACACAAATTCCCAAGTATTGACTTGAAAACAACTAACAAAAATAGATTTAATTTTTAAAAAAGAAATTCTTGGAAATGCTGAGAAAACATAAAATCATTAGATCATTAAGCGATAATAACATCATCTGTTATGAATTATGACGCATTATTAAAACTTTACGATTAATTTACAGATTCCTGTAAAAATTATGTCAATCTTATAAACCAATAAATTTATAACCTATTTTTAAGTTTAAAAAAAAATATGCAAAATACAAAAATAATCTTTAAATTAATCCTTCAACGTTCGATTTACACAACAGCCCCTCAAAATGATATAGGTAGAACGATGTCCAAAGTGTTAAAACACCCCAAAAGAAGGTAAATGTTAAATTCTAACCTACAAATTAATAAAAATCTTTTAATTTTAGGAAACCTTTTTTTGAAGACCCAATATACTCTAAATCCAATACTTTCGAGAAATCTCCGAATTCAACGAAAACCCAAGGGCGAATCCGTCGTATAAATGTTTTAAATAAACTGTTTATGAGACACATCACCGATTTTATGGCAACTGGTGAAATGGCCTCAATTTATTCTGGTTTAGGATTAGAGATAAATCGAGTTGAAGTGACGCCAGATTTTTTAGGAATTAACGTGTTTTATGTAGCACATAACACTCATCCTAATATAGAAGAGATGTTAAAAGATAGCGGAAGGATTATAAAACACGAATTAACATGGTTAAATGTTATCGGAAATGTGCCTAATATTCATTTTGTCAGGGATAAAATTTATGGGCAAATTGTAGAAATTGATAAACGATTAGCGAAAGCTGATTTTGGAGAAGATTATGAACCAAGTGAAAGTATTCTAAAAGTTAGAAAAGAATTGTGTATGATGGAAATGAAATTAAAAGAACAGGTTCGAAAAGAAATTTTGAAACTGGATGATGTTGAAGTTGATGAGGACGTTCCGGAAATGCCACAAGATGTTTTAGGATTAAATCATAAAGATATTATGGATAGGGTGGGTTAAAAATTAATTTTGTGTAAAATTTAATTAAAAATTAATTTTAGATTAAAATTTCCTTGAAAAAGTCACGTTCCACACCAAAAATAACCAATGTAATTAGTACATTAAATGAAGTAAACACTAAACCGATTGAATTTAAATCAATAAAAACACAGAGGGAAGTTTTTAAAGAATTTTTAATAGAACGACAGGTAAAAATCAATTTAATTCATATATATTTATTTTAATTTTAATTGTGTTATTAGAATTTGAAACGTAAAATACGAAAAAATAAGCTAAAAGCGTCACCGGAAGTGGATTATTTTACAGAAGAATTTTTTGAGTTAAAAGAAAAAGAATTTGATGATTTGCAAATTAATGGAAATGTTGATGATAAAGATTTTATTGAGGAAGATTTTGATGATTCTGATTTAAAGGAAAAGTTTTAAAATTTGAAAATTAAATAAAATGAGTAGTTAAAATTTTAAAATTATGTAATTATTGCAGTTATCCTCCTCATGTGGTTCATGACAATACATTAACCAAGAAATAATAATTTCTCCACTTTTTACCATCCTCTTGTTAAATTTATCCAGTAGATAAATTAAAATTTTAACCAATGGGAACCAAAGAAAAGTGGGTGTTGCTAAGTTTTTGGCGAACATTGTATAAGAACACACCTAGAAATTCATCATCATTGGCACCACAACCCCTGGTGGGTCTTGGCCTGTTTAAGGATCAGCTTTCACTCTCTTCTATCTCATGCCTTAACCTTCCAGTTCATAGTTCTAGTTTCTAATTATAAAAAGGACTAATATGTACTGTCAACACATGCTTAGTGAAATTGAGATTTCAAAAAGAAATATATTTTCTGGAGTGATTGACACAGCCAACAACAAAATCAAAACCACCTGGAACATCATAAATACATTCAGAGGAGGTAAGACTGATTTCAAAGATATACAAAATGTGTCAAATGTCTGGAATATAGCCAATAACTTCCTCATTTGTGATTTTAAAGAAAAATGTTTGAAATAAAAAATTCTTTATTAATTGTGGCACATTTTTTGGCTATATTTGCTTGTTTACATTGTTTTTGTTTCGTTGCTATGGCAACCAAGATTGTTATTTTAAACGGGATGCATGTTTTTTTTGCATATTAGGATAGAGGATAAATCATTCACCTCCAATCCTAGCTTCCAATGATGAAACGACATTAAATGTGTGTCACCGTACCCATACATCATTAATTTTTCATAATTGTTGAAACTGTCATTTTTTGACATTTAAAGCTGTCAACGGCGTTATTTGATTACTTTGATTGTAATTTGCTGATTTAGTATTTTGAGAAAACGCATCTTTTCTCGATTTTTTCCTTGTATAACCATATGATTTGATATGTTCATCGCGTAGNGGAGGTAAGACTGATTTCAAAGATATACAAAATGTGTCAAATGTCAGGAATATAGCCAATAATTTCCTCATTTGTGGTTTTAAAGATAAATGTTTCAAATAAAAAATTCTTTATTAATTGTGGCGCATTTTTTGGCTATATTTGCTTGTTTACATTGTTTTTTGTTTCGTTGTTATGGCAACCAATATTGTTATTTCAAATGGGATGCATGGTTTTTTTTGCATATTTGGATAGAGGATAAATCCATCTACGCGGTGAACATATTAAATCATCATACGGTTGTATGAGAAAAAATGCGTTCTCTGAAAATATTAAATCAACAAATTACAGTCAAAGTAGGCGCTGAAATAACGCAGTTGACAGCTTTAATGTCAAAAAATTGACAGTTTAAACAAATATAGACACAGAAGATCCAAATATTAATGATGTGTGGGTAAACGCATTACCTGGAGACACAAATTATACATTCCACAGCATCCAAAATATTAAAAAAAAATTTCAACATCGAAAGTGTTAAAAACCTTTCAAAAAGTGGACGGCCGAAGGAAGCTACCAATGATTAAACTACATTAAATGTGTGTCACTGTACCCATACATTATTAACAGAGCCCGGACAGTTTAGGAAAGTTATCCTAAAACGCCTCCCACTCCAGTCTCAAAAATTCAATCGAAGCGTGCGAAGCTGTCGGATACGTCATACCTTATGTCACGAAATAAATTATTAATTATAAATTTAATAAAACCAAAAATGATTAATTCAGTGCGTATTTTTATATTATTTTTATTAATTCATTAATTAATGTTGCACAGCAAGTTCTTCGCTAAGGTACGCTCATCGCTCTTCGAAATTCAATTTAGAAGAATAACTTAGTGATCGAAAGATGTCAAAAGCGACAACAACGTACTTATGTCGTTGTCATGGAATTCGTTTCGTGTGGAGGGGCGCACTTTTCCTAAACTGTCCGGGCTCTGATTATTAATTTTTCATAATTGTTGAAACTGTCATTTTTTTGACATTTAAAGCTGTCAACAGCGTTATTTGATTACTTTGATTGTAATTTGCTGATTTAGTATTTTGAGAAAGCGCATCTTTTCTTGATTTTTTCCTTGTATAACCATATGATTTGATATGTTCATCGCATAGAGGGATATCAAAGTATGCAAAAAAAATATGCATCCCATTTAAAATGATGGTTACCATTGCAACGAAACAAAAAACAATACAAACAAGCAAAAATCGCCAAAAAATGCGCCCCGATTAATAAGTACTTTACACTCAATTTGTGAGAGCGTTGCTTTTACTACGTTAATTTCATGACGTAGTCAAAAAAAAATTTTCCGTTTTAGATTTTGAGATATCATGACAATTTTTTTTTTTATTGGAAAGAACCACTGATTATTCGCTTATTAAATTCGTTTTTTTTTCTGATTACAAAAATATAGGGTTCTAAGGTCTATTTCTTATTGTTTTGGAATAAAGCTAAAAATAAACTTTCTTTTTAGTGTCGTCAAAGCAATTAAATTTACAGTTTCCTGTAAATTATAACTAAAAATTAAAAAAACATATTTTTGATATTTGAAACAACAATACCTTTGTTGAACTATTTAATTTATATTTGTTTTACCCAAAAGCTGGAATAGATTGCATTATTTCACATTTTTATTAATATTTAATATTATTCTTAAATGACTTAATACATTATTGATAGATGGCGCTCATATATATTTATTTATTTTTTTTATTTTAATTTAAATAAACATTTGTTTGTATTAAAAAATTTTCTGAAGTGTCACATTAAAAATTCTGTTTTTTTAAGATGGATTACGAACATTACGAGAAGTAATAAAGAATATTAGAAAATAAAATAAATTTTATATAAATTTTTAGTAGAATAATTTTAGTTATAATACCGTAATTTACAGGAAACTGTAAATTTATTTTCTTTGACGACACTAAAAAAAAAGTTTATTTTTAGCTTTATTCTAAAACAATAAGAAATAGACCTATCTAACCCCATACTTTTGTAATCAGAAAAAAATAACGAATTTAATAAGCGAATAGTGGTTGTTCCCATTTAAAAAAACGAAAATTGTCATAATATCTCAAAATCTAAAACCGAAAAATTTTTTTTGAACTATTTTTTGACTAGGCTTCATAAAAAACCAATAAATATTGTAATAGGAACAATTATTGTATTGTATACAAAACAACAATTAAATAATATTTTTGTTTTATTAAAACTTAAAATCACAGATTCTCTTATCTTAACAATTCATAATTTTTTCGAATTATACACAAAAAAGAAACAGCTACAATTTTTAATCTACAAGTGTATAAAATCACAGAATATCTAAAAAAAAATCGACGATTTGTGATGATGATTTAGAGTGATGAGAATAAGATTAATTAAAATGCTCTAAAATACTTGTCTTGATGAAAATATAGAAAAATACTCTATATAAGATCTAAAGAAAAAATATATGTATAACAAGGATGTATACAATAAATAAAAATTTAAATATATCAACGAATAAAATGATGTTTAGAGTTAAAATCTTAAATATTTAAAAAAAATCATTTTTCAAAACCCAACGTTTCCCGTTTTAAATGTACCCAATCTTGAACTTTTTGCGTCATCGTTCGTTTTTCCAACAAAGTTTTCGCAGCTCTTTGAAATTTATCTTCGTTTCTTCTCAAATACATCATCGCATCTCTTTCTAATTGGTCCAATTTACCAGGATCAATCTCAACCATACTTAACATTTCTGTTAAGTAGGGGTTGAATCTATAGTAAACAGTTTCCGGAAGAAGATCTCCTAACATCAAATGGACAGCTAAAAAAATATACATGTTTATTTATTTGTCAAAATTAAATGATGGAGTTATTATTACCTTCCGTATCTGTAGCACTATCCAAAATCTTCATAAATTTATTCTTCCATGACGAAACGTTAGCTGGATGTAATTTACTATCATCTGAACCAAAATTATTAGGAACAGTTCTCCCTGTACCAAATGAAACAACGCATTGAATAGGACTATCAGGCCATAACAATTTTGCTTCGTGTATAGCTACAGCTGTGGGGTTATTTACTAAGATTCCACCATCCTAAAATTATTAACAAGAATGAATTAGTATAAAAAATAATTATTACAAAAAAAACTTTATTACTTGATGTAAAAAGTTTCCTAATTTATATTCTTCAAAATAAGTTGGAGCTGCAGCTGAAGCACGCGCAGCTTGCCAAACTTCATGTTCATATCCCCCCATATATTGACTTTGCACCCTCCATGGTAAAGAATAATTTCTAAAGATATAAGCAGATACCCTCTCGTGGTTTACAACAGCAGAAACGGCCGCTACTTTTGGTGTATTTCGATTTCTAACGGTGCTTATTAAGCTATTTTCACTCAAATTCTCCTTCAATAATTTCTCCCATAACGAAGTATCATAATAAGAATGTGACCAAACCAAACTACTTGTTCCCTTAATTGTTGATTGTGTAAACACTTGAGTACTCAACTCTTTGTAATCTCTTTGTAAATTATCTAAATCTTTTTGTAAAATCCCTAACGAACACGCTAAAATCGCCCCTGTACTAACTCCGCATATAAAATCAAACATTTCGTAAACTCTTTTTCCAGTTAACTCCTCCAATTTACGAAGCATCTCGATTACAAGTAATCCTCGAATACCACCCCCATCAATTGATAATATTCGAATCCCTTTATTTGGGAGTGGATCTGAATGTCCCAAGATAGCCAAAGCTTCCGATATGGCAGATTGTGTTTGAATGTCTTTAGTGCACCCTCGTACTCTTAACAATAATCTAATTGCGCCTTCTTTAACTGCTGCATGTTTCTCTTCGGGAAATTGTTTTATGTGCATTGAAAGATCTTCAATTCGACGTAATTTTGATTCTTTTGATTGAGCCTGACTGATTGAGAATATTACGTGTTTTGTTCTTGATGAGATACTTGACTGTAATAAAAAATAACAAAATTAAATTTTTTTTGAGTAAAATGCTGTAGGTTAAGGAAACATAACCTCAAAATGTCAAAAAAAAATTAATTTAACGTTTTATATCATTTTTCTTAATATTTTTTTCTATATTTAAGATATTTATTATTAATTAAATTATAATGGCTAATTAACTAATAATTAAATCATCTAATAAAGAAACAAAGTAACATAACCTTAAAAAGCAAAAATATTTAATTCGACTACTTACTTTAGAAGCTACAACCTTATCATTTTTCCATTTAGCCACTTTTGGAACATTATTAGTTTTAACAACTTCCCCATTATTTTCTTTAGCTCCAAAACTAATTCCTAATCCGTTTAAAACTCCTGGAATACTAATTCCCGTTGTAATACTTGTTGGTTCACTTTCTACGGCGACAGATTTAGCCACAGCATCTTTCTTAATGGTCCCATTATCTTTTTCAGATACTTTATTTACAGTTCTTACGATAGCATTTCCATAAACGGAAGGTTGTATCTTCTGTAGAATCTGGGCGAATTCTTTGTTGATCATGTTCTGGTAGTTTTGGTCGTTGGTCAATTTGGACAAATACTCTTTTAACTGGGACAATACCCTCCAATGAGCCAGGGGCATCGCCCTTGTGCTCATCTTAGTCGGTTCGACCGCGTTTGAGTTGCCCGAAATGGACCTTCAAGAAAAAGAGGCATTTTTAAGACGATTTCGAATTAACAAGGTTTATGAAAGCGCTTATAAACGTAATAACGAGCGAAACTGACTACTGACACGTTGAATTTGTAAAGGGGACTATTATTTTATCTACGAACCGTGTTAGGTAAATAAAATATCAGCTGATTTTTTTTTTTTTTATGATACCGTGACGTATTTGATGATGTTGACAGTTGGAGCAAATTTATAATTTTGAGTCATTAAATAGAAAAGAAAGTTTCATGCGAATATTTTACAACAGTTTTAGATTATTTAAAAATAGGTGCTAGCGTAAAAGCTTTGTTTAAAAATGGGTGGTCTGATTCCAAAGTTCGATATGTATAGGTTAAGTCAAAAAGTTTTTATACTTTTTGAGGCAATTTTCACATTAATTTAGAGTTTTTTTAGTTTTAAACAACGATTTTATCGATTATTAAGAAAATTACATAATTCGAATTAAAAATTTACATTTAAAAAAAAATTAACTTTTTATAAACGCTGTATATTATTTTTTTAATTCATAAGTATATACAGGGATGATTAAAAGTTTTTTTTTAATTCTTACCTTATAGGTACTATCAGATGTTTTCTACAATGCACAATATTCTTGCTAAGAGACATTGCGTTAGCACTCATTAGAATAAATTAAATAAATAATATTAAATAACACAGATTTAAATAAATTAATTAATCCACTTTTAAATTAAATCACTTTATTTTCTTATTCAATAAATAAAACTTTGTTTATTAGTTATTCGATTGTGATGTTTTATTCACGATTTGTATTTATCACGTAGCGTTGAATGAACTGAGTGCTTTTGTAAACAAATCAGGCTTACTTATAAGCCAGTTTGAGTGGGGATTGAAAACAAATATTGTTTACATTTATCGTTTTAAAAAAGGATTTATAATAATTTCGGCGCAGAGCGCCGTCGGACGTCGACGTCGCGTGGAATACCCCCTGGGGAGTAAACAGCGTATGCGGATATTTTTTTCTTATTTGCCTCGATAGCACGAGTCATAAAACGTGAGGACACGTGGACATAAAGTTGGAACTAAGCCAATTTATTTCGGCGTATCGTACGAGTTCTATAGCCACGCCTCCGACATCACCTCATTTTCGACGAAAGTTAAAAAAAAATCAAATTTGTTACGTTTTCCCTTTTAAACGTAATTTATTTGGTAAAAAAATGATAATATAATATTATGAGATGGTGGTTTGAGGTCGTTTTAATCAAAAAATGAAAAATAAATGGAACGTTTTTTAGATGAATTAGGTACTTGTATAGATTAGTGTTTTAATTTAGAAAAATCAATACAATAAAGAAATCGATAAGTTATTTAAAAATGACCTTCACAACTTTTCTTTTTTATTTTACTTAGCCCTAATGTTTTTTAATCGATATTTGAAGACGCACGGCTAAACCCAAAACTTTCTAGGTCTAGTTTACACGCTCAAGCTATTTGCGCAAATTGGCTTGCACAAGTAAATCGTTGCGTGTGAACGCTGGCTTGAAATTTGCGTATGCCAATTTTTTGGCTTTGTTTCTTATCACCAATTTGGACAGGCGGGAATTTTCTTTTTTAGGATTTTAACATTTTCGTTGCTTGGAGCAAAAGACTCTCTTCTGACCACTTCTATGAATCATTATGGTTTATCCATGCAGTTAATATATTTTGTATATCCCGATTGGCTCTTTCGACTGAGCCTTGTGATGATGCTCAAGCCTCGGTTATAATCTCAGACATGCACATTGAATGATGTGTGTTGCTTGTAATTATTGTTTCATAGATTAAAATGCTCGACGAAAAACAATTCCTATATGAAGTGTACAAGTCGTTCCCTTATTTCTGGAAAGTGGAAAGTAATGAGTACAGCGACCGCAACGCTAAAGCTCATGCGTATGATGCTTTGGTAGAAAAAATGAGATCCTTGGACTCAGAACCCAACAGGAAGAAGGAACATTCAACCCCCATTCAGCACTCAGAGTAATCGTTGCAGACTCAACCATCAACCAACCCAACCCAAGCAACACTCAGCAAAGTGCTGCAGATTTGTTTCGCAACCTCAGTGATTTCGAGGATGGGGCAACATAATGGGGTCATACACGATTTTTTTTTTATTATATTTTCTGAAAGTTTNTATGATGCAATAGTTGCACAACGTCATCCGTTGCGCAATTAATTTCAAACAATTTTGAATTTCTACAACTTGTTGCGCATCACGTTGAACAACACTATACACCATACAATTTTTGCACAACAGCCTCTGTTGTGCAATTTGTTCGCAGGTGTATGGGCCCTTTTAGTAAATCGTTGCATGTGAACGCTGGCTTGAAATTTGCGCATGCCAATTTTTTGGCTTTGTTTCTTATCACCAATTTGGGCAGGCGGGAATTTTCTTTTTGAGGTTTTTAACATTTTCGTTGCTGGGAACAAAAGATTCTCTTCTGACCACTTCTATGAATCATTATCGTTTATCCATGCAGTTAATATATTTTGTATATCCCGATTGGCTCTTTCGACTGAGCCTTGTGACGATGCTCAAGCCTCAGTTATAATCTCAGACATGCACATTGCTTGAATGATGAGTGTTGCTTGTAATTATTGTTTACGATGCTCAAGCCTCAGTTATAACCTCAGACATGCACATTGAATGATGTGTGTTGCTTGTAATTATTGTTTCATAGATTAAAATACTCGGCGAAAAACAATTCCTATATGAAGTGTACAAGTCGTTCCCTTGTTTCTGGAAAGTGAAAAGTAATGAGTACAGCGACCGCAACGCTAAAGCTCATGTGTATGATGCTTTGGTAGAAAAAATGAGATCCTTGGACTCAGAACCCAACAGGAAGAATGACATTCTACATTCAGTATTCATTGCACACTCGACTCTCATTCAACATTCAACCCCCATTCAGCACTCAGAGTAATCGTTGCACACTCAACCAACACAACCCAAGCAACACTCAGCAAAGTGCTGCAGATTTGTTTCGCAACCTCAGTGATTTCGATGATGGGGCAACATAATTTATATTAATTACGAATTTATTATATCAACCAACCCATATTATTCCGTATTTTTCATTTGTTGAATCTATTGTTTGGAAAATATTTTGATACTACTTCCTTTTGTATGTTATAACTTATTAATAATATTCAATAAACTTACCTTGAGATATGTGTCTTTTAATGCTTTGCATCGTATGCTTCTGGAATTATGACGCTTAGAGCTGATTTGGAAATAACTGTTGAAAATTTTAAATACATAGCGTGAAGTTTCCTTTAGTAATTAGTAATGCCAATTATAGCGTGAAGTTTTCTTTTGAAATGCCAATTACACCGTGAAGGAATGTTAAGTAAGGTTAGTTTTGTTTACAAACATTAATTATAGCGTGAAGTTTTCTTTAGTAATTAGTAATGCCAATCATAGCGTGAAGTTTTCTTTTGAACTGTCAATTAAACCGTGAAGGAATGTTACCTTAGGTTAGTTCTGTTTACAAACATTAATTAATGTTTGTACATACGTTCACAGGCGGTGCTGAAGATATTCCAGACATGTTTCAGACACATTTGTAGCGAAATGTTTCAAATGAAATGTTTCTGCTACATATTTTAATGATATTTCATAAATATTTCTACTGAAATGTATTTGATACATATCTTTAGATACGTTTCGTAAAAATCGTATCTGTCACGTATATGAAACGTACTTCTAAGATGTTTCATTTAATTCACTGTACATTAAAATTGAAATGTTTCACAGAGGTTTCTTGTTTACTGGGCCGTAATTTCTTCCAGTTGCCAAAACTCTCAGCGTAGCTGATAGCCTAATAGTTCATGGGGGAATCGCACGTCTCATAACGGTGTCTGCTTTCGAAATGATGAGTCTAATTAAATTTTGCAAATTCGAGTATATGGCTTCGTCCTTATACAAGTAGTTGCGAAAATCATCAGTATGGTAAACACATCCCTTTGTAATAACCACTTTTCTTTTCTTTTTGGCTTCAAGTCCTTCTTTTTCTTCACAATGCACACCGCAGCCGTTGAAACAAGTATTAGTTCTTCATCCAAATGTTCCATTTTGAACACTACAATTGTGCAAACCGAACTGAGTGTGAGAATGAAAATATTTTATTGAATTCGTTTGCACAAACCGGCTTGAGCTTGTAAATGGGCCTTTAGTTCAAAGTCCTAAAAAATTGACCTTGACAGGTATTATAGAAGAAAAAAAAACTAAATAAATAATTTAAAATGTTTTGAAAATAAGAATTTATTAATCAAATTTAGAAAATTACAATTTTTTTATACAAACTTATTTTTTCCTAATCAATAAATTTCTTTTAATCACATTTTTAGCATTTTGTAAATTTAAGATAATCGATAAATCCTCTTTTTGTTGCTCGAAATAGCTAAGGACAGTGTTTATTGCTTGTAAAGCTTGATTATGCGATAAATGAGATACCCCCGGAAAATTAAATTCTTCTACATCAACATCAGATTTAATATCAAAATGATCATTGGATAGCCCAACGTACGAAATGGACTGTTTAACGGTTGGTTTCCAAAAGGGTATCCCAGCGAACGATAAAGATTCGTTATCATTCATTACGTCTTCTATCGTAAGTTTTAATTCTTCCGATGGAAATTGTCCCGCTACGTTTTGAAACGATAAAGAGTCGTTTTCACTTATTACATTTTCTTTAGATACATTTATTTTGCAATTACTACCGTTATGTATTGAAGAAAATTTTGTCACGTTTACGTCTTCAGTAGCACTTTCAATTTCAGATTTAACATTGGATTGATCATCATATTCGCTATCAACGTTTGAAAAAGATTTTTCATGGGATGTGTTTTCAGTTATTAATTTTTCTTCGTTTAAATTACAATTTTGTGGTTGACATTTGGTTTGTGGTTCCATTTCGTTAATGTCATAATTTTGATTTATTCAGAAACATAAATTTTGATCAAATCATTTCTCTGGAGGATAAAATGTTTTGATGATAGGTCAAGAATTTCGCAGACGTATCTTAATTTGATAATTTATTAATAATTATTAACGCAAAACTCTTAAGCAAAATAAAATGTGCACTAAAGTGTACTCAAACGACCTTTGAGTGGAACGATATTGGCTTAGATCATGTTAGTACTTTGACTCACACTAAAAATAAATCGTTCTTATTTAGTAATCGTTTCATTAAACGAACGTAAGTTTATTTAAATTGATAATTACATTTTTATTACGTCTACGCAAAACATTATTTCTTCACAAAAGAAAAAGCTTGTTAAATAATTGATCGTGATTAAAACCACGTAACATTTCCCACATAATATTTAATAATTATCTCAAAATATTTGCACTTTACGAGGCCACGAGCTTTATTACGAATTGCGTCGCTTAAAAAATAAATAAAATGCGCCGTTTCGAAACTTGTTTTGGGAAGTTGAATACCTTGACGTTATTGTTGTTGTTGTTCTAGGTGGAAATAATGACGTTCATTAGTTGCCTAAATACAAAACAGAACGAAAGTGAAATGCGTAAATGTTATAATCAAACACAATGTAATGACGGTTGATTAAACGATTATTTTATCAAATTATTGATTTACTGCACACTTTTTACGTCAGCCATTAGAAATACTTGTATACAGAGTCTCACAAAAGTCTGTAATACGATATTTCTGTTGAAGAAGCATACAGAGGCATGAAATTTGACATAAATTATATTCAAATATTAATAAACAACAATGGACAATTAAAATTCGTTGTGGAGAAGGCTTGAAGGAAGCACTTCCTTCATTAGAATCTCATCAAGGTAGTTCTGGGAGTTCCTCTGATCCATAAAAATCAATTATTAATAACTCAAAACATACATTAAATATATTTATTCTCAATAATTGTTATCTATGTTATTATTTTTACAAAAAAAGAAATACTAGATATATTTTAATTCTTCAATTCATAAGCAGTTTTGACATATAAAACATCATCTTTGGTATATTTATTGTTTTTCTCCATTGCTTCAACCAAACTATGAAGACCTACAAAAAAACAAACAAACAATACAACATTATTCATAAAAGTATAACTTACTTTGTGTATCTTTTGATGTCATAAACATAACCAAAGCGCTAAATCTGTTCACTTTGGTTAACCCCATAAGATATTCATAATAATTTTCATTGTTAGGTACAAAATGGTCGTTCAATACTTCTAAAATTTCTCCAAAAACAGCACATTCCATGTTGTATTTAAATATATCTCTTAACCAAAGAGGATCAATTTTTTTTAAAAATTTGTATTTTTCTGTAGAATCAGAGAATGAATTCCAGATTTGATAGAATTGTAATGAGGTGGTTGGAAGTTCAATTGCATTTAATTTTGTATCCTTAACCGGGGAATCTTTCAAAGTCAGATCTTTCAAAATTTCAGATTCTTTCTCAATTTTAAAATCTAACAAATTATGATTACTACTTAAAACAGGTGGGGTTGTAATGGGTTCCATATCTTTATTAGTTGATTTCAAGACTTGCTCTTTAAAAAGCAACGTTTGTTCGGATTTTAAATTAACATTTTCAATCCGAACTCGTTTCAAAGATCTTTTAGATCGCGTCATTGGTGTTTTTCGCACAGCTTCAATATGTTTTACATTATTTCCTCCAGGACCGTAAGCAAAAACATTCTCAACAGTTACTTTATTTTCAGTAACATCCATTTTTTCATGTTTAGTTTCTTTATTTAACACTTTTTGGGGTTCCTTTCTTTCAATAACCTCTGTTAAAATTGATTTCTTTTTTTCAACATCCTTTTTCAGTGTATCTTTCGTTATTTTAACACCCAAAGCAGTTTCAACCCTTTTTAAAATCAACTGTGCTTCAGTGTTATATGGCTCAAACTCAAAAACTTTTAATAAATCTTTCCCAGCATCTTCAAAAAGTTTTAATCCTTCCCTAGCAGCAGCACGCCTTAAATAAGCTTTTACATACATTTTATCGATTTGTAAAGCAACAGTACAATCGGTTTCAGCTAATTTATATTGCCTCTTTTTTAAATAACACAAGGCTCGATTCGCGTAATAAATTGCGTTATAAGCATAACAATCAATAGCTTCCGTGTAACAACGAATTCCTTCATCCCAATTTCCTTGTTTTACATAAGAATTTCCTTTTTCTTTATGAACATCACCCAATTGTAATAATCGTTCGTTTACTTCTTCTTCTTCGTCGGTTTCTGGATCACTTAATTCTTCACCTCGTTCGATTTTATCTAATTTTGCGCAATAAGCATCTGCATCAAACTTATCCCATGCTGCATAATCTGATCCTTTTATACGTTTGTGTTTCTTTATTGTGGGATCTTTAAAAATTTTTTGATGGGAATTCGATGTTGATGGTGAAGAAAGTTGTTCCACTTCATCATTAAACTTTTTTTCATTTGAAATTAATTGAGACGTCTAAAACAAGAAATTATTAAGTTAAAAATTGTTGAATCAACAATTTAACCTCACCGAAACTTGTCGACGTTGTGGTTTCCCTTTTTCAAACTCATCCTTCTTTTTAATTGCCTCACCCCATTGATTTAATTCTTTATAAAAGTCTTGTAAATCTTTTGCATTCTGTCGCACTTGATTTTGCACTAAAATCGTATCCATATCAAGATTTTTCCTTGACTTTAAAACGATGTCAAAACGTTTATGACGGTTGTTTGGTCAATAATACCAACTCATTAACATAGCAACCAAACAAAAAAAACTGCTTGTTACTAAGCAATAAATTTGATTTAATTATTATTATTTTAGTTTTATTATAAAATATTAACACGAATTTAAAATTAATATTATAATTCTAATCAAATAGGATAATATTTTTAAAATAAATTAACTTTTATTTTACGTTGGTATTACTTATTTTTGACAGATTTGACAATCACATGATTTTGATAGTTGGTCAGGTGCTGTAGGCGCTGGTTAAAACATTAAATTACTTCTTAATTCACCTCTCTGGTTAAAGTGTTCATTAAAAAAGGCTTTATACAATGCCTGTGTGCGGACCAAAATTATCTCTCTGCGGTTTAATCCTGAGCGTTTGGGGCATCGTCCAATTAACACTCATGGGGATCTTTTACTACACCCATTCAGTAGCCCTGGCTGAAGATCTTCCACTTGGACACGACTTTGAAACCGCGGACGATTTTTACACCGCAGCCAACACAGCTTACGCCCAAAACGCTTACAATTGTTGGATTGCTGCTTGTATATACTTGATTACTCTTGCAGTGGCCGGACATCAATTTTGGATGAATAGCAGATCATCTTTAAGTGTTTAAATGAATGAAGTGATTTTTTTGGTGTCACAAGTTGTTATTTGTAAAATTCCAAGTGTTGTATTCCATAAATAAGTACATAGATTTATTTAAGATTTGTAGATTTTGTCCTTTAACTTGATTGTACAGATACAAAAATGCATTGTAAAGTATTCTAATGTAATTAATATGTTATTAGAAGATTATAAATAAAAAAGTAGACTTTATCTTGTGGGTTTCAATTGGAATTATGATATAAACACAACATTTGTACTTAGTTCTTTTTTTATTTTCTTATAAGATAAACAAAAAGAAATGATTATGTTTCAGTAAAAACTAACTAGTTAATATAATTGTGTAAATATTAAGCTGTCCTACTTACAAATCAAATCGTATAAAGATTTAAAAAAATGAATTATGTATGATTATTCTTCTTCTTTATATGTATTTTGGTAAAATATCCCTGTTTAAATCTTTTTAATTGTCACTTTCTGGTTCCTCCTTTTCCTTTTTAATTTTACACTCAATATAAGATTTCTTTTTCCTTTTTGGATATTCCTCCTCCTCCTCTTCTTCTTCCTCTTCATCTTCGTCATCATCCACCTCCTCAACATATTTCCTCTTGCGTCGTTTTCGTAGTGTTCTTGTAGATTCTATAACAGGTGGATTTTTATGATCCTTTTTATGTGCTTTCAATTTCTTTTTTGTATCAAAATCCTTTTCACACTCGTCACATTGAAAACTGTCGCCTCCTTCATGTTTAGTCATGTGACTTTGAAGCATTTCATCTGAAGCAAACTGTTCTGCACACTTATCACACTCATAAGTGTTAATATTACATTTTAAAAGATGACTATCGATATAATGTAATGATACAATACATTTCCCGCATGTTTTACAATTAATATTTCTTTTTCCGTGCGCCTTCATGACATGATACACCCGATTTAGAACTGTATCAAAGCATTTATTGCAACATGCGCACTCGTATGGTTTTGCAACCAGATGTACTTCCATTGCATGATTAACATAGTCAAAATGGCAAATGAAAATTTGATTGCAATCTTTGCATTTTTTCAAAGGTAATCGCTTCCCCAAAGTTCGAATTGTCAATCCCAATGAGCGGTAAGTCTTTAACGAATTGTGTTTTTCATATCGAGATGGTAAGCAGTGTTGAAAACAGGAGGGATCACAAAAGTGAGAATTAATACAATGGGGAATTAAGTCACCGTTTGACATGAAACATCGCCTGCAATGAACACACACTCTCATACCATCATCTTCATCTTCTGTTGTATCACTGTCCATGTTTGTGTTAGTAACTATCTTTGTATCTAAAATTTTGGCTATATCCTTATTGTGTGCTGATGGCGATTCTTCTTTTTGTTCTTTATCTTTAGAAGTTGAGGTTGGGGATGTGGATTTCTCAGTTTTACTCATTTTTGCGTTTCATAGGAGATCTAAAAGATGAAAGTTAAAGCTTAAAACACAACTATTTGTTAAAAAACAGTGATTTTTATAGTGCAGTAATTGAATTGAAACAACACTAGCCTAAAGCAACAGGAATTACGGTTTATAAAACTCTTTTAAATGATTAATAATATAGTATAATGGTACGTTAAATAATGCAGAATTCAAATTTGTTATTTTTTTTAAGTAATATAATCCGTGAGAAGAGAAATTATCGAAATTATCTTATGAGTTACTTACAGTTAAGCTTGTGGTGTAAACCCGCCATAATACCATCTGTCAAAGATCTGTCAATTTGTTGCCAACAGTATTATTTTGACTCTCTATATTTCCTGTTTTAATTTGTATATATTTAAAATAATAAAAGAAATTTCTTATTTAGTATTATTAAATAATTAAATAAAAATTAATTTGGTTTAATTCATAGCTTTTATTAATTTGTTGATCTTGTTGATACCAAACTTAAAAAATCCCTATATTATCGGCGTTGTGTTTATAACCGTTATGACCGGTTTTAAACAGTTTTTAGCATCAAATTCTGATTAAAATCACATTTTGGTAAGCAAGATTTGTTTCATGTTTCTTACACATTAATTAGTTAAATCATATTGAGCCTAAAAGATATATAAATCAATTTTTTTTTTAGTCGAATGAATTAAAGAATCTAACATGTATATTAAATCAATTGTGTTGGATGGGTTTAAATCCTACGCCCAAAGAACAGAAATTCAAGGATTCGATCCTTTGTTTAACGCCATAACTGGCTTAAACGGAAGTGGAAAATCAAATATTTTAGATTCGATATGTTTTTTATTAGGAATCACCAATCTATCACATGTAATAACATTTTTTTGATTATTCCAATTATATTTATTATATTACATTACTTTTAATAGGTTCGTGCAACAAATTTGCAAGATTTAATTTATAAATCTGGACAAACAGGTATTACAAAAGCCACAGTTTCCATTACATTTGATAATAGAAATAAAAGCCAATCTCCCGTTGGTTTAGAAGATTGCAATGAAATTACAATAACAAGACAAATTATGTTGGGTGGTAAAAATAAGTACTTAATTAACGGTACAATTGTACCAAATAAACGAATACATGATGTATTTTGTTCGGTTCATCTAAATGTGAACAACCCACACTTTCTTGTAATGCAAGGAAAAATAACAAAAGTTTTAAACATGAAACCCCAGGATTTCTTAGCTATGATTGAAGAAGCTGCAGGAACAAAAGTGTATGATCACAAAAGAATCCAACATGTTAAAACAATGGAAAAAAAAGATGCAAAATTACAAGAATTTCAAGAGGTAAATTTATTATTTAACCCTATCAATACAGCTTTTGGCTAATGCAGTAAATTGTGTGTATAAAATGTTGTTCATTTCGCTTCAAAATGTGTGTATGCAAAGTTTCATTTTTTATCTTTTAGTATTTAGAAAAAAAGAGCTTGGGATATATATGTCCTTGCAGTAGTGCCTGTTTGGGATATATTTGTCCCTGCAGNAAAAAATTCATTGACTTACATTTCAGAAGCTGAGATATTACCATTTTCTGGGGTGTATGTAGACTTCATTGTATAACTGTAATCCTATTACAGCGTCACATCGAGTCCATAACTTTATCTCTCGTTTAGGAGGCTTCAAGGGGAGTAGTATTTAGAAAAAAAGAGCTTGGGATATATATGTCCTTGCAGTAGTGCCTGTTTGGGATATATTTGTCCCTGCAGTAATGAAATAAAAGAGCACTTAGAAGAGAAATTTATTATTTATTTTAATTACTGTAAATAATATACAGGATGATTCTAAATTGATGCAAATGATTTCAAGAGGTGATTTTACAGCGAAAATTAAAGGATGTCTTTCATATAATTGTCCCTTCTAAAGTTAAGGGTAAAAATCTGTAACTTTCTTACCTCTTCACATTTTCCAACTAACAAATTGTTAGTTTGATCACAAAAGATAAAATAATGCTGAATTCAGTTTGACTTCATGTTTTTGACTAATAATAAACTAATCTCTGAATTAATTCACTTGAGGCTGTGTGTTATTTTATTTTTTTGTTATCAAATTAACGATTTTAGGAGATGACAAGAAACAAAAAAGTTGCGTATGGGGTCATACACACTTATTAAATTTCGAGAAAATTTTTATGTCAAATGATATATGCAAGTATATGCATGAACACAAAGTAAAAGAAATATTTTGATCAATTTTATATTTTGCGTAATTTGAAGTGAAAAATAGTAAATATTCAAACGAAATAATTTCGCGGCTTTTCTGTGACGTAGGAACCGCACTGCCTAAAACAAGTTAAATTGNATCTTTTAGTATTTAGAAAAAAAGAGCCTGGGATATATATGTCCTTGCAGTAGTGCCTGTTTGGGATATATTTGTCCCTGCAGTAATGAAATAAAAAAGCACTTAGAAGAGAAATTTATTATTTATTTTAATAACTGTAAATGATTTTACAGTGAACATTAAAGGATGTCTTTCATATAACTGTCCGTTCTCCTCCAAGTTATAGCCCTCTAAAATTAAGGGTAAAATCTGTAACTTTCTTATCTCTTCACATTTTACAACTAATAATTTGTTAGTTTGATCACAAAAAATAAAATAATTCTGAGTTCAGTTTGGCTTCATTTTTTTGACTAATAATAAACCAATCTCTGAATTAATTCACTTGAGGCTGTGTGTTATTTTATTTTTTTGTTATCAAACTAATGATTTTAGGAGAAAATGACAAGAAACAAAAAAGTTGCGTATTGAATCCCTCTATTTAAATCAAAACATCCTTTAACGCAAAGTATTATAGGGGTTGATTTTTCAGCCCCTTCTAATAACATTTTCGGGTTATAAAAATCGTCAAAAACTGTCATTTTAAACTAAATTCCTTCATTTTTTTCTCCTAACTTTAGACTGCTATAACTCTGTGGAGAAGGGGCTTTGAACAAAAAGTTATATCAAAGACCCTCTAATGTTGACCTAATTGACCCTAATTGTTGAAACTGTCATTTTTTTGACATTTAAACCTGTCAACGGCGTTATTTCGGCGCCTACTTTGATTGTAATTTGCTGATTTAATATTTTCAGAAAACGCATTTTCTCGATTTTTTTCTTATACAACCATATGATTTGATATGTTCATCGCATAAAGGCATTTATCTTCTATCAAAGTATGCAAAAAAATATTTGCATCCCATTTAAAATAACAATGTTGGTTGCCATAGCAACGAAACAAAAAACAATACAAACAAGCAAATATCTCCAAAAAATGCGCCACGATTAATAAAGAAAGTTGTGTTTGAAACATTTTTCTTTAAAACAACAAATGGTGAAGTTATTGGCTATATTTCCATTTGACACACCCTATATATTTTTATCATAGACATACGGTGACACAATAAAGTCTATATACAGCCCAGAAAATGATAATATCTCAGCTCCCGAAATGTAATTCAATGAAATTTTTTAACAAAATATGTAAGAAGTCCATATTATTTCCATATTTTACATAAAAACTTTATAAGTTATTATTAATCAAGGGGAACATAAAACATAATCATATCTATAACTCAAAAAAGTCTACATACAGTCCTAAAAAAAAGTCTATCAGTGTCCGTTATAGCTCAATAAAAATATACAACTCTCTAGCGCTGAATAACAAATAAAACTAGACTAACACTAGAACTAGAATAATACGGGTTTAGCAGTCCTGAGAGACGTGCAGCTAAGCCCGAATGTTTCTAATTCTAGGTCTAATGTTAGTTCTAGAGACAGTAGTAACTAGCGCTTGTTAGCATAAGATATCACTATGTTGTATATTTCTATTGAACTAAAACTCTAGCATAAAACCTAGAACTAGAATAATTCGGGTTTAGCCGTCTTGAGAGACGTGCGACTAAATATGCTGTAGCCTTCACTTCGTAGCACTTTCGACTTTGTATTAAAATAATATAGACTTCTAATATCCTTTGTTTAAAAAATTCATTGACTTACATTTCAGAAGCTGAGATATTACCATTTTCTGGGGTGTATGTAGACTTCATTGTATAACTGTAATCCTATTACAGCGTCACATCGAGTCCATAACTTTATCTCTCGTTTAGGAGGCTTCAAGGGGAGTTACTGATTCGTCGATGGATTGAAATGTAGTGTCTTTTCTTACTTTTAGAAAGGTGTATTTCAAGCAGGATAAAACCTCTTCAATGTAGTAAACTTTAGATGCATCCACCGGTTTTTTGGACTATTGAAATAAAGTTTCGACATGAGAAGTATAAACTGATCCCTGGATATGACTTCTGTTATTGCTAGATTCTGAAGTGATTTATTTCTCAACCAATACATATGAATTGATGGCACACGGTTATAAGAGTTAATCAACACACATCCCAGAATTATGTTGATTTCCCTAATTCTTTGTCAGTTGTTGGACTTTCAGACTCATTGGAGGAAATGTAATCCATACTATCATCACTGTCATGGTAGGGATCAACCTCTATATCTGACAAATTTTTCGCAATCTCTGCTAATTCTTTATCAGTCAGTAGGCGATTCATACTAAAAAATTATATTTATATTGTAGCGATAAAATACTGTGGGGACAAATAAACTCATTTTTTTCTTGCAAAATTTGGTAAATGTGGCTATAGACTATTATAAAAAATAAATATATAACTTACCTTTAGGCAATGCTAATAGAAACTGACAGAAATTTATGTAAATATTATCACTACATGGAAATAATCCTAAAAACAATAGCAGTAGAAGCACACAAACACCCAACTGGTCTATAAAAATGTGCTGATAGGAGTCACACGTTTTCGTAATCTAAACTAAATGTGACTCACACATAAAGTGAAGCCAGAAGTACTAACAAATCCTATCCCAGTGTATTTTAAAGCGATATACTAGACTTCAGTATTTTTCAAACATCCTTTGCTTTACAGACATTTACTCATGAAATTCAACCTCGATTAGAAATGTACAGGCAACAGCGTACTCAATACTTTGAATTTCAACGTATCGAACGTGAAGTGGAACGTTTACGCCAATATTGCGCCGCATTGGTATATTGTAACACCGTAAAACTTGTAAATGAAAAAGAAAAAGATGTTATTATCATTGAAAATCAAATTGCGATGTTCAAAACTAAAGTGAAAGAAGATAAAGCGATGATTAAAGAAATTGAGGAGGAAGTTAATGAAAAAATGGAACAACATAAAACGGTAATAAATTAAATAGTAGGCAACAATCGAGGTTACCAATGATAACATATATATTTTTAGAGTTCTGATAATAAACTAGAAGAAATCAAAGCTGAACTTACTGAGAAACAAAAATTAGCTGCTGGTATAAATGCAACAGAAAAAACCGCTAAAGATCGGATAAAAAACGAAGAAGAAAATGTAAAAAAATTAGAAACTGTTTTAAAGGCAGATGTAGCAGCTCTCACAACAAAACAAGAAGAATTAGCTAAATTTCACGGTCTTTTTGATTCAATGAAAGCTGCTGAAGATGCCGACAAAGAAGCTTTAGCGATTTGTGAAAAGAAATATGAAGCTATTTGTGCTGGTATGGAAGTTAATGATGAAGGAGAAGCTCAAACATTAAAAGACCAATTAATTAGTAAGATTTCTCCATAACAGCTTTTTTTATTAATCATTTTTTTTGTAATATTCTTTAATTAGGTGCGAAAGAACAAGCTAAAAAAGCTGCTACTGATTTAAAAGTTGATAATTTAAATCTTAGTAAATGTAGGGATCAATTAAAAATGAAACGGGCAAATTTAACTGGAGCCTCAGCAGATTATAACAAAGAAAAAACTGCATTGGAAAACGTTAATAGTGAAATCACCACCATTCAAAAATCGTTGAATAAATTAAATTATTCTGAGAATCGTATGGGCGAATTAGAAAAGCAACGCCACACATTTTCAACAGCAATAAATGATCATATGGATAACATTGAGAATTTTTACGCCTCAAAACCTTATTTAAGGTTTAATTATACTGACCCCGAACCTGGATTTAATAGGGGTACTGTTTTTGGAATTGTAGCATCTCTTATTAAAGTTAAAGATCGCGCTTATTCTGTTGCAATTGAAACAGCCGCAGGTGGAAGGGTAAGTTAAAACGATGTTTGGACGAAAAATATAGCTAATTTTTGATGTAGCTTTATAATGTGGTTGTAGATAAAGATACAACTTGCAAAAAGTTACTTCAAAGGGGTAACCTGCAAAATAGAACAACATTTATTCCTTTAAATCAGATTCAAGCGGATAGGATGAAACCACAAACTGTAAATTTTGCAAGAAAATTAGTGGGTTTATTAATATTTTTTGTTCTTGGTTAAAAAATAACTATTAATATTTTTAGGTTGGAGAAGATAATTTAATAGCAGCGCTTGATGTTTTAGAATATAGTCCACAAGTTAAATCAGCGATTGAATACATTTTTGGCAACATTTTTATCGCAAAGAACATATCAATCGCTAAACAAATAAGTTATCACGATTCTATAAGAAAAACTTGTGTTACTTTGGATGGGGACACCACAAGTCCTTCTGGTACTTTAAGTGGAGGGGCGAGACAAAAAACTACACCGGTTTTGTTACTTTTAGATGATGTTTTAAAAGAGCAGGTAATAATTTTGTTTTATATAAAACGTTTTTTATAAATTTTTTTTTAAAGAATGAAACCAAACGAATCCAAAAAGAATTAAATGAGCTTGAAAAAGAATACAGGACGATGTTAACTTTGCAAGAAAGATACACAACGTTTAAAAATCGTCTTGATATTTTAACTCACGAATCTGAAATGTTAAAAAATAGACTCAAACAAGATACGTTTAGTAAGCAACAAGAAGAAATTAAACAACTTGAAACTTCGATAATTAAATTAGAAGAAAACATTAAACAAAATAATCATATTCAAAGCGAATGTGCTAAAAAAATTAAAAACTTAGAATCGAAAATGACTAATTCTAAGGATCATCTTGAAAAACAACAAAAAGAAATTGAAGCGGAATTGGTTCGTTTGCGAAAAAAAGCGGAACAAAGTCAAAAAAAATATGGCCAACGTGAACAGGACCAAAAAGTTTTAGATATGGAAGTAGTAGAACTCACGAATACAATTAAAACCGCCCAAGAAAATATAGAAGCGGCCCAAAATACAATAAAAACTTTAAAAGAAGAACACCAAAAAGCTCTAATTGAATCAGAAAAACTTCGTGAGATCGTGGCAGAAGTAAAAGAGCGAATGCAACATGAAAAATCGGTTTTCGCCGAACAAAATAAAGAGATCCAAAAAATTATTAAATCTAAAGATGAAAAAGTTAACGAAATCATGAAAATTGAACTTGAATTAAAAACTTTGGCGATTAATCTAAATACCGCTCAAAATGAACATAAAGTTATTAAAATTGAGGTAATTATTTAACACAACTAAAGACATCGACCTGCAATTATGATTTTAGCTTAAAAATGTTGGTAAAGATATTAAAGATATTGATAATAAATACATTGAAGAAGCGAAAAATTTATCGGAAGCTGAAGGTCGAAAAATGGAAAAAAAATTGTCTGAGGGGAAATTAAAACTTTCCGAGTTAAAAACTAAAGTTAATCCAAAAGCGCAAATTATGTACGAACATGAAGAAAAAGCGGTAATAAAAATAAATCATTTTTTTTTCTTCTCTTATAATCATTTTTAGTATGCGACTATTCAAAAGAAAATCAATCAAATTAATATTGACAAGGAACTTTTAAAAAAAAGTATTAAAAGTTTAGATAGTCAAAAAGAAGAAGCAATTAAAATCGCCTTTGAACAAGTTACAAAAGATCTTGGTTCGATTTTAAGTACTTTATTACCAGGAGCGAACGCCAAATTAGGAATACCAAAAGGACATTCAATCTTAACGGGTGTTGAGGTAACTTAAATGTACTTAAAAAAAATTGATTAATTAATTTTTGTGTAAATTTTTGTTTAAAGATTAAAGTGAGTTTAGGTGGTGTTTGGAAAGAGAGTTTAGGCGAATTGAGTGGAGGTCAACGATCTTTAATCGCCCTATCGTTTATTCTCGCTATGCTCCTCTTCAATCCAGCCCCATTATATATTTTAGACGAAGTCGATGCTGCTTTAGATCTTTCGCATACCCAAAATATAGGAACGATGTTAAAACAACATTTTCAACAATCTCAAGTAAAACTTTTTGATTTTTTTTATATTAATATTAATTATTTTTTTAAATTTTAGTTTATCATTGTTTCATTAAAAGATGGTATGTTTAATAATGCGAACGTTTTGTTTAAAACTCAATTTATTGATGGAAAATCAACTATTAGTCGAAGTGCAAATGTGCGGTAAATTGTTTTTTTAATAATGTTTTGGTTTATAAAGTTACTCTACTTTTAAATAAATGTTTATAATTTTGATAAATTTATTTTGTACCATTTAATATTTGACACAAATCACCTAATCTTTCTAGATAATAATCGGGAAAAAGCGAACGATTTGATAATTCTTTTAAATCGCTAAATTTAGTGTTTCCAGTTAGAACCAATAAAGATTTATATCCGGCGTTTTGAGAAAATTCAATATCAGTAAATCTAAAAAATAAATATTATTTATTAATCTTAAATAATTATTTTCTACTTACGAATCGCCAATAAATAAAGTTCGGTTTGGTTTTAATTTGTATTTCGATTCTATGTATTGATTCATTATTCTGTCAGGTTTTCCAAATCTAATTGGTTGTCTTCCAGTGATGTCTATTAGAGCTTTATGGAAATAATTTGGACCTAAAGTAAAGAATCATGTTTAGAATTTATCCCCAAGTATTCTAAATTATTTTTTTGTAACTGGAAGATAAAGACAATGTTATCTATGACAAAATGAACTCTAAATGTCCTGTTATCTATTCTTCATTCACAGTAACTGTATCTACACAATAAGTTGGATAAACTTAAGCAACCTCAGTACATTCACATAATGTGAAAATGTTTATTTTTATACCTATTTATCCCAGCAGCAAGTTGGTGTAACCCCTTAAAAAATTCTCTTAGAGAATGCAAAACCCCGAAATTATACTCAGTGACATAAAACACCAGGCTAATGAGACTATCTTAGCAATGAAGTCAATCTAATAATACACCTCGAAAAAGAAGATTATCCTTGTGAAAATTGGTTAGAAATTATATTTGCAAACCGTTATGCAGATTTCAGAAACAGAGCATAAACATTACAAAATAATTCTTTAAGCAATTTAATTACATATCTAATTAATCAATAGATGTGTCACAAAAATCAATAGTGATAACGCAATTATGTGTACACAGTACAAATAAATACCTTTTTACACAACAAGTTGAAAGAAATTACACTTTACTGATTTTATTTTTAATTATTTCCAACGTTAACTTTCGTTTTAATTTAATTACCTATAAGTGTTATATTATTGTAAAAGGGAATTTTGCAGTCTGATCCTCCAGTCATAAATAACACATCATTCCTTTTTAAGTAAACGCAAGCTTTTTGTAACTTTAAATACGTTAAGTTAATGTCTATATCCACGATAACAGCACCGATGTTTTTATCATCAATTAAATTATCGCTCATGGTTTGAGCGTTTTCTTCAATTTCATTTAACTATAAAAAAGTTGTCGTATTTTAATTTTTTAACTAACATTATTACAATTTTACCCTTACACTTTGAAGAATCGTTTTAAAACCAGCTTTTTCGAATTCCTCTTTCAGTTTTTTCAATCCAATCAAAAAAATCGTTCTTTTAAATCCAATTTTTTTTAAATAATCGATAATGACAATCGTGGGAAATACAATATCTTTTTCGTCAACATCCAAATCGAATTTTTTAAGGGTTTGTTTAAAATCTTTCAGAGATAACGAACAATTATTGCTTACGAAATGTACTTTTTTACCTAAACCTTGTAATAAATTAATAGCTTCTTTGGATTTTTCAATTGTATTTGAACCGATGTGGATTACCCCTAAAATAAATTAAAATTATTATAAATTAAGTAAAGATTGATGCTTTTTTTTAGTTTACCATCACAATCACATAAAACTGTATCAAATGAATTAATAAAATTATTCACCTCACCACGATCGGCTGATAACAAATTTTGTGGTCTGTTCATGTCGAATCACCTTTTGAAACTGTTTCAGTGAATTCACAATAAGGAACTCACCATAAAAATGTAATCGGGAAATTATCTATTCTGTAAATTTCGTTTTGAATGGGTTTTTTTGGTACTTCACAATATTACATATATTATACAATTCTTTTTCGGAACGGTTATTACATTATTTAAATAACTATTTTTAACAATTGTATCTAAAAGTTAATCTTTTACAATTATTTAAATTAAATAATTATTTTTTTTATGTAATATTATAATTAAAATTGTGGAAAGAAACAAAACCAATAAAATTTATCTTTGTTAAAATAACTTCTCATTTATTTCTTATCCTTACATCATTTTTTTAATTTAACTTATTTATTAATCCATTTATTTATTGAAATTAAAAACTGCAATTATTATTTAAATTTTAAATTATTTTATTATCACAGTAAATTCTATCACAAGATGGCACCACTTTTTTTTAATTCATGCAATTATTCGAATTAAAAGAAATTAATTGTCAAAATTGATCGTAACAAATAAAACGATAATCGGATCACATTTAATTAATAAATAACAATTATCAAAATTGAATTAAGTTGAATTATTAAATTAAGTAACATGACATTTAAACTCTCCTTCCGTTACTAAATTCCGACCAGTTCAAAAAACGCTCCATCTCCCAAACGTCAACCGAATATGTTTTCCACTTTTTAAGAAGATAGGATACAATCAAAACCGTTGATGTCGCGTGGAAAACATAACGGAAGGCCCCCGGCGAATTAAACCGAAGTAAGCAACCTTTTTATACATCTTAAATTGTTTTTTACGCCGCCGTCGTTTTTAGATGAGTAGCAATAGCAGCAACCACCAGTTCTTGCAGCAAACATCAACGCAGGAGACCCGGCGTTTTGGGGACATAAAACACTGTACGCAATTATCGGAACATTTTGGGACATTATGCACCAGTCAAGAGTATTCCGATATTGTTTTAGTAGTCGAGGGACAAAAACTATATGCCCACAAGGTATGAAATAAACCAAAAATTAATTTTTAATCCAACTATTTATTCTTACAGATGATTTTAGCTGCGCGAAGTGAATATTTTCGTGCATTATTATATGGTGGCATGAAAGAGTCCTCACAATCTGTAATAACATTAGCAGATGCCCCACTGAAAGCGTTTAAAATTTTATTAAAATATATATATTCTGGTAATTAGAAAAAAATATAAAAAAAATTGAATTAATTGTTAATTTGTAGGTCAAATGTTTGTGATGGCTTTAAAAGAGGATGTAATATTAGATATATTAGGTTTAGCTCATCTCTACGGATTCCAAGATTTAGAAACATCCATTTCAGACATTCTAAGACAATTGTTGGTGTTAAAAAATGTTTGCGCAATTTTGGATGCGGCCCGATTATACGGCTTGGAGCAATTAGTGAAAGTATGTCATAATTTTATGGACGAATTCGCTTCCGATTTGTTACAACACGATACGTTCTTGCAATTATCGCAGGTAATAAATTAAAAATGTAGGGAGAAAAAGAAGTACTTTATCAAAATGATGAAAAAAATGCTTTTCGTAGGGTTCTTTGGTTGAATTGTTAAAACGTAACTCGTATTTTGCACCGGAAGTGGAAATTTTTAAAGGCGTCGCCCAGTGGTGTAAAGTTAATGAAGACGTTGACAATTTAGTAATAAATTGCATCAGATTGCCGTTAATTACAGTCACCGATTTGTTGTCAGTTGTTCGTCCCACTGGGTTGGTTCCATCTGATACAATTTTAGATGCTATTGCTGAAAGAAACAATTCAAGACTTTGCAACTTACCGCATCGCGGTCGAATGGGTTAGCAATATTTCATTTTATTTTAAATGTAATGTAGAGACTCTTCCTTTTTTAATATTCTTAATTTTTTAACTTTAAATTTTTTTATTCTAAAAAATACTTAATATTTGTAATTGTGTGTTTAGTTGTTGATGAAAATGTGGCTAGCGCAAAATACGGCGCTAAAGTGGTTACTGGAGAGCAATTGGAGTACCTTTTGGATGGCAACACTAGTAAGTACGATATGGAACAAGGATACACAAGACATGCAATTAATGGCGCAAGGGATGAAGGAATTATTGTCAAGCTTGGTATTCCTTATATTATTAATCATATACGCGTTTTGCTTTGGGATAAAGATTTGAGGTAATTATAATCAGTTAATTTTACCAATTGATTGACCAACTTTAAATGTAAATGTCTTAAAAATATACAGACTGTTTAAAAATTGGCGGATAATGTACAAGCTGGTTCAAAAAGAGATTTTGGCCTTAGAGGCCAAAATTGAAGATATCATGAAACCAACAAGTGCAATTATCTTGGTTATTATTATAGGTGGAGTATTATAACTACAACATTATACGAACACTTTCTAACAGAGAATTTGATGACGTAGTCAAAAAAAAATTTTCGGTTTTAGATTTTGAGATATCATGACAATTTTTGTTTTTTTAAATGGAAATAATCACTGATTATTCGCTTATTAAATTCGTTATTTTTTTCTGATTACAAAAATATAGTGTTCGACAGGTCTGTTTCTTATTGTTTTAGAATAAAGCTAAAAATAAATTTTTTTTAATGTCGTTAAAGAAACTAAATTTACAGTTTCCTGTAAATTATAACTAAAAATTAAAAAAGCATATTTCTGATATTTGAAACAAATACATCTATTTAATTTATATTTGTTTTACACAAAAGTTGGAATAGATTGTATTATTTCACATTTTTTATTAATATTTAATCGTGTTATTAAATGACGTAATAAATTATTGATAGATGGCGCTCATATATATATATATTTTCCGCGGTTCATGAAGCCTGTTTTCAAGCCAAAATGGCGGTTTGACAGCTTGTCACTGCATCTCACCACTTATTTACAAAAATATTGCCGTCTTGTTGCCTTTGGAGTTGCAAAAATGCCAGTAAGAAGGCCTTTCGGCTATTCAGAGTAGCACGAGAAAAAAAGAAAGGAAATTTGGCGTAAGGTTATCAACAGAACGATATAGTTTTAAATTTCCCGCTTGACTTTCGAGCCAAAATGGCGTCAAACCGCGGTACTTTGTAAATCTAGGGACTTTATTTTTTTTAAATTTAAATAAACAGCAACTTTTGTTTGTATTCAAAAATTTTCTGAAGTGTCAAATTAAAAATCCTGTTTTTTAAGCTGGATTACGAACATTACGAAAAGTTTAACTTAGCCTCTCATCTCTTTGTCTTTAAAGTAGTAAATTTTCCATTTCGCAAATCTAATCTCTACCTTTTACGATAATTACAGAGTTTTCCGCTGTTGTTTTCATAATTATCTCTATATGTTTTATAATAGTTGAAATAGTAGACGAAGAATGCCCTTATTTATTTACTAAGTCCATATCTTTAACTCCACACAAACTATTATTTTTAAACTACACAATACTAATTTGAAAAACACAATAGTTGAAAACTTATGAACGTAAAAAGCAGCTATACTGTATAGAAAACCATAAGTAGGTTAATCCAGCTTAAGACACAAGTATTAATACTTGTCACTCAAATTCTTATAGATTTTCTTTCGTTCTAATCTTTTCCAAACATTTTTCAGATCATATTCATATTACATTGAAGTATCGCTCGAACAAAAAGACTGGGTAAGAGTCGTCGATTACAGCAACTATTTGTGCCGTTCTTGGCAAGACCTTTACTTTGATAGCAGAGTGGTTCAGTTCATCAAAATCGTTGGCACCAATAACACAGTCAACAGGGTACTTGTAACAAATTTTAATTATTAAATCTTTTTTTATGAAATCCACAATTACAGGTGTTTCATCTTGTCGCCCTTGAAGCAATGTACAAGTTGAAAATTCCTAAAATGCAAAAAGACATCATCATTCCTACTTATAATATAGCCACAGTTCAAAAGGGAGCCGTTGTTATTGAAGGTGTTAGGTAATTTTGTTACTTTTAATTATTCATTTGTGTAATGTAATTTTGATTTTAGTCGTTCGAGACATACCTTATTAGATGGTGATACGAAACATTACGATTGGGACCGCGGTTATACATGCCACCAGCTGGGTTCCGGAGCAATTTTAATTCAATTAGCACAACCATATATTTTGTCCAGTTTAAGATTGTTGCTTTGGGATTTAGACGATCGTAGTTATAGTTATTACATTGAATCGTCTGTGAATATTTGGGATTGGGAAGTTATGATTGACAAAACTAGGGAAAATTGCCAATCTTGGCAAGTTGTTAAATTTCCTCCAAGACCAGTCGTTTATATTCGAATCGTTGGAACTAGAAACTCGGAAAATGAGGTTATTAAAAATATTTATTTCTATTACATTTTTAATCGATTTTTTTTTTTAATTAGGTATTTCATTGTGTGCACTTTGAATGTCCGTCTTGTGACAAAGAAGATACAACGGTCCAAAGAACAAAAGGGGTTTGTAATTTTTGGGAAGATGAAAATCGCGTTGATCGTGAACCGACTGAAACGGCAACGGAAGCTGAGGAAGAAGTTCCGGCGGAATTTCCGAATTAAAAGCAAAAATCGAAATATTTGTTGAATATTTTAAATTTGTTTATTTCTTTTTTTTTGTTGACTATTTCTAGCTTATTTGTAATATTTTCTTTAGACGGTATGACTTTTTAAAAATTTCTGTATGACAATTTTTAAGTAATTCACGCAAACACTATTTCGAAAATCAATTTTCAGTGGTCACGTCAACTCTCCAAATAACTCAAAAATTATTCTCTTCCAATGACCTAACTTTTGGGAATTTCGAAGTTACAGGGCCGCGATTTTCGAAATATGTGATAGAGCATCGTTTTTGTACAGTTCTTGTGATTAGGTGTATGTAGTTAAAAAAGAAAGAAATCTTTGAAGTAGATTATGAACATGTATACGTATCAATAAGTTATCTTTTTTTTGTAGGTATGTATTAGATTGCAGTATTTTTATATTATGTATATCAACACTTTGTAGCAATAAACTGGTATAAATAATGATAGTGAAAATTTAAAAGGTAATACCTAAATGGTGTGCTTTACGCATAGAGGTAGTATAAATATTATTTAATTATTATATCCTAGTGTATAAATAGACTGGTTGTGATTTCTCTACATTTCAAAATAAAACACCAAACATTAATTTTAACTCATTTGATGAACCTTTTACCTCAAAAATATTATTCAAAATTTCTAATTTTTTGACATAAAAAAACATTTTTAGGTTATGTCATAATATAACCTAAAAAGTTTTCTTGTGATTCTAACCTAAAAATTTAATTTTTAAGGCAAATTACATCGAATTTTTCCCAACTTTTTTAACTAGAAGAATCGTAATTGTTGTCTTTCATTGAAAATCGATGCAAAAATGTTACTTTAGTATCAATTTGACGTTTATAAATTTTTGACATTTACTGTATGCAAAATCCCTATTCAAAAAATTAGAAAATCAGGAATTACTCAAGAATGGTACAAATTTCAAACATTTTAGATGATTTATTTAATTTAAACAACAACTTAGTTTGGAGAAGGTTTAATTAAGAATTTTTCGAATTGTTTTTAAGAATCATTAATTTATTATAGTTATTAATATAGTTATTACATATGCGAATCTAAAAAGCTAAATCAAAACAAAAATAAATACACGTTTAAGTTCAATGATTTTAAATGATTAAAAGAATTTATCGTTTTTAAAAAACATTTTTAGCCCCATTGATCATCAGATCGTCCAAACTTGTAAATTAAAGATGCTATAAAAATGAGAGCATTTTGAAGAAATAATCCAACTCCAGGCCATTGTTTAACTAAAAACAATAAATAATTAATATTAAATAAATTAATTTAATCTTAATTTACCTTCTTTATTGACAAAATTAGCAAACAAAATTAAACAAGCTGCAATTACTGAACCAAATCCCATAACAAAACCAATAAAAAGAACTATCTTTGCTCCCCTTGAACCCATACATCCTCCTTCATAAGCATCTCCTCGAATCTAAAACAAAAACGATCGTTTAATAACAATTATTAAAAAATATTTTTATCTTACTTGTGAATTGGAAATTGAGTTAACAATAATTAAAGATAATGTACCGAAAATACCACAAATATGGTAACCAACAGTAATTCCTCCATCGACGGAGGCAGCATCAATTATAAGCCACCATCCTAAGAAAAACTGAAACAAATTTATTTCAGTTAATAATAAATAGATAAAAACAAGGGTATTGTTTTACCAAAAAACCGGCTAATATCGATGCTACAGCGTTTCTTTTTTCTCCACCCTCAAACCAAACGCACGTCGGTATGTTTAAGTTTTCGAAACAATTTGCCATAGTTTATTGTTAGTTTACCGACTTAATTGTTGTTGTGTGAATCATTAACCAAAAAACGTTTTATGTCACTTATGACAGCTAATCACACCAACACAAAAACAACACAAATAATTTTCAAATACGTATTTATTAATCACTTTTATACAAATTATTTACTTCAACACAATTATTTAAATTCTACTTTAACTTATATTTATAAACAAAATTAATTCTAATCAAAAAAATTTTATTTTTTATAATTTTTATGTTGGTATTAAAAATTTTAGTGACACTCTCAAATGACACCTTCCACGTAGTTTTTGGTTATTGGGGTTATTTCTGATTCGAATTTTTATTTTAAAAGAGAAAAATGGTAACTGTATTAAATACAATCGATACGGGACATGAAGATATGGTCCACGATGCCGAAATTGATTACTACGGTTTACGCCTAGCGACGTGTTCATCGGATAACTCTGTTAAAGTGTACGATATAAAAAATGGGGCTCACACGTTACTTGAGGAACTTAAAGGCCACTTTGGTCCTGTTTGGCAAGTAGCTTGGAGCCATCCCAAGTATGGAAATTTATTAGCATCTTGTTCATATGACAGAAAGGTAAATGCAAACACACAACATAAAAAATAAGCTTATACATTTTATTTTAGGTAATTATTTGGAAAGAAATCCAAGGGAAATGGACCAAATATCATGAATATTCCGGTCATGATTCTAGTGTAAATTCTGTACAATTTGCTCCATCTGAACATGGTTTAATTTTGGCCACTGGAAGTAGTGATGGTTCAATTTCAATTTTAACTTATCAAAATGATAGCGGTTGGGATGCAAAGAAAATACAAAATGCCCATGCTATTGGATGCAATGCTGTTAGCTGGTGTCCTGCCATAACTCCAGAATCAGCATTTCATAGCAACCAACCTCAAACTCTTGTAAAACGAATTGTTTCAGGTGGTTGTGATAATTTAGTTAAAATCTGGCGCGAAGATGGAGATAGATGGGTAGAGGAAAATAAACTAGAAGTCCATTCCGATTGGGTTAGGGACGTTGCATGGGCCCCTTCAGTAGCAATGAACCGTCATATTATTGCTAGCTGTTCCCAAGATAGAAGAGTAGTCATTTGGAGTAGCGAAGATTGCCAGAGTTGGACACCAACAATTTTACATACATTTGATGATGTTGTTTGGAATGTTAGCTGGTCTTTAAATGGTAATATTCTAGCTATTTCCGGTGGAGATAATAAAATTCATTTATGGAAGCAGAATATTGAAGGAGTTTGGCAATGTATTAGTGATGTTATTAAAGGACAAGGACAAACACCTGTAGAACAAAGAGCTTTGTAACATTTATAATTTCTATGTTTTAAGTATGATGTTTAAATGTTCAGGTTTCTATTTTGTAACTAAACACCATGTCACAAAAAAAAACAGAAAATGTTGAAAGATAGTGATCTGGTAATAAAAAATTGTATTACTGATAATGTTATGGCATTTAAATGTAATTTTTTGTTTGTTTCTTTTAAACATTAATGAAGTTGTATAAGTAATGATTTTGATGATTAAATGATCAGGTGATTTTGTCATTTTTTGAAATAAAATCGTTTCATTCATTCTCAATTTCATGAAATATCCATTCCAAAACATTTTCATTATTTAATTTACTAATACTAAGGTCCGTTGAGTATTGGTTATAAGGTTATCCAACTCGAACAATTTGACGTTGACGAGGTGAGGTAGGAAACGTGACGTCATTGGAAAAGTATAATATACAGGTGCCCACTTTGTATGGAATATAGTATACAGTGTCCGCCAAAAAGTCAGCAACACCCGTTTCATTTCTGTTCCATTGTATCTACGTTTCTGAAATTTAGTTTATATAGGAGGTTCATACCGATCTTTCGATCTAAAGTATTTTTAAAATGGTGGCCACTTCCGGTCCCCCGGAAGTAGATCACAACTTCGTTATTTTAAATGGAATGCTATAGTTTTTATTGCTTTTTTTAATTATATGCGAAAAAATAAGTTGACTTTGATAAAGGTTATTGGTACCTAGCGTTTTTCGTTTTCGAGTTATTTTGATTTTAAGTTTTTCTTAACAATTTTCACCATGCCCTTTAAAACTCCATATCTCAGCAAACGTTCATTCAAAAAAGCTCTAAATTGGCACGATTACTCTTCAAATGCTGTCAAATAGATTGTCATTTGCTGTATCACAGTATCTTATACAGATGGTCAAAAAGTGAATTACTTTTTTTCCGCATTCAATGGCAAGAAAGTCGAAAATTTTAAATGGTACGCTCCATATTTTATTAGCTCACCAGAAAGGGAGTTTGCCATGGAAAAAGGGAGCTCTACATAACAATTCAAACTAGAACTAACGTCTGAAGACGCACGGCTAAACCCGAATGTTTCTAGTTCTCGTCTAGTGTTAGTTCTAGTTTTAGTGCAATAAAAATATACAACTTTGGACTCATTTTAATGTTTTTTTTAATAAAGAATACATCATAAAAGATTACCATGAAGTTGTCCATTTATCTATTATACAATAACTTCAGATTTAAAATGTCAACCTCAATTTTGACATATTTGTAATCTTCATTAAAAATCCTTTAAAATGAGTACAAACACGACATATTTATCTTGAATATTAATGAAGTTATGCTCAACTTACGGTTACAAATGTCAACGTCAATTTTGACATATTTATAATCGTCGTGAAAAATCCTTTAAAATGAGCCCAAACATGATACGTTTAATTCCAATATTACTCGAGTTATAAGCAACTTCCGACTTGAAATGTCAATGTCATTTTGACATATTCTTAATTTTTATAAAATGTCTTAATATTTGTCACAGAAACAAAAATATAATAAAGAAAAATTAAAAATTAAGGTTGGTATTAATATTTAATAATTAAATTGCTATCTTCATTGTTGCTAACTTCGGATTTAACGTTTGTTTATTCAAACTTTTTTGTTTTTTGAGATAAGTGCGTCATGTTTGGACTCATTTTAAAGGGTTTTTAATGAAGATGACAAATATGTCAAAATTGACGTTAACGTTTCAAACCGGAAGTGATTGTATTTCCATTAATATTAGAGTTAAATATGTCGAGTTTGGACTCATTTTAAGGGATTTTTTATGAAGTTGACAAATATGTCAAAATTAAAAGTTCGAACTTTTTGGTTTTTTTTGAGATAAATATGTCAAATTTGGACTCACTTTAAAGGTTATTTTATGAAGATTACGAATATAATAAAATTAAAGTTGACATTGACAAAGCAAATACAAATAAATTAAAAATATCTCTTTTTTTGATTTAATCCACATACCTTGTTTATAATTCCCTAGATAAACCAATTTTGAGTTAAATACAGTCTTTTAAACCAATTAAATAAGACTTTTTCCTTAACTTAAATTCAATTTCAATTTTGACAAACAACTGCAATATTTGGATCTTAATCACCATGGTAACCGAGTCAAGTTGGATAACCTAACAATAATAAAATTATAACCGTTAATATTTCGCTTTATATTTTAATATTTTTTCAATTTTATTTTTTATATTTTTGTATGTTGCTTCTTAACGTCACAGCAAGGCTTTTGCGGGGGATACGTTCATAACAACAGTGTTCATATGGAGTTGGATAAGCTTATACAGGATGCTTACTCAACGGACCTTGAATATAATATAATATAATATGATAGGTCGTTTTTTAATTTTACTTAATATTTAACGAAGGCGTTTTAACTCTCTCAACTGTCTTAAAGTAATTACTTAAAGAAAATTCGATAAAAATAATGTATCGTGCCGCCATCTATTTTCTAAACAAACAATTATTATTAGAATTCTAACATTTTTATCGTAACTTTAGATATAAATATAATAATAATATCTATAAATTTAAACACCAAACAAGTGTTATTAAACTCAAGAAATAGAGAGTTTATGTATATAAATAAAAATATAGAAATGTCAGAAACGTTCATAACAACAGCGTTCATAGGGAATTGGACAACCTTATACAACAACAAAACTAGTATTCAAATACATTTTATTAGCAAAACACAATACTTAGAAGAACAGAACTGAATTATAACTTAGTAAAGCAAACGATTAATTTTAAATGCGGTGAATTGATTTCAAAATTAATGATAAGTGATTTTTTAAAGTGTTCTAATTTTATTCTTGTTGTTGGACTTCGGATGGTTTAGGGGGCTCCTTCCCATCCTTCTTCTTTGATCCAGATACAATATCATCGATACGCAACAATAAAATAGCCGTTTCAACAGCAGTTTTATAAATTTGCAACTTTACAGATAATGGCTCCCAAATTCCCTTTTCCTTAATCTGCTCAACTAATTCTCCAGTTTCACCATCAATACCCCAAGTACATGGTGAGGTTTGATCGGTATGAGCGGCATGTTTTGCTCTTAATGCGGTTAAAGTACGAATGGTGTTTGCACCGCAATTTTGAGCCAAAGTTCTGGGAATAATTTCCAAAGCATGCGCTAAAGCTCGGTATGGACCATGAGTCGCCTTCTGAATTAAATGCTGAGCTATTGCCATTTCGATAGCTCCACCACCAGGAACTAAACGTGGTGTGACCATAATGTTTCTAGCAACTTGAAGAGCATCTTGTAAATTTCGTTCAGTTTCATTTAACACATCTTTACTTGCACCACGAAGTAGGATTGTACATGCTTTTGGATCATGGCATTTTACTAAGAAAGTGAAGTATTCATCACCTATTTTTTTAACCTCAAAAAGACCACATCTTGTGCCTACATCAGATTCTTGAAGTTCTTCTGTTCGATTAACTATTGTAGCGCCACAAGCTCTTGAGATACGATTATTATCAGATTTTCTTACACGTCTGATAGCCGTTATTCCAGCTTTAACAAGGAAATGTTGTGCTAAATCAGACACGCCTTTTTCAGTGAAGATTAGGTCGGGTTTAAGAGCGATTATGTCGTCACATTGTCTACGTACGTGTTCTTCTTCAAGTTCTAACAATCTAGTGAATTCCTGCAGAGAATTAAAAAATTAATTTGATTAATTTTAAGTTTTAAATGACTTTATACCGTATCTCCTTTAATTTCTATGTTTGTTTGAGATTCGCCTTTTTTATATTCAAGGTTACAATCAAGCAAGATTATTCGTGGGTTCTAAAAAAAAAAAAGGTTTAGATAATAATTCTTTATAACATCTTTTATACCTCAATATATCGCTTCATTTTTGGGTGAGTGACATCCTTATTGACCATAATTCCATCAAGAATCTTAGAATCTTCAATAGTACCCCCTGGAATTTTCTCCACCTTGACATACCGCTTAATATCAACTTCTGTTCGACCATTTTCTGTCAATGTTACAGTATTAACCGCATCCAAAGCAATATTTACTGCTAAATCGGACCAACGGCTTATGAATTTGGTACCAATACACCCTTTAATCTAATAATTTTCTTATAAAAATTGTATTTTATTTCAACCTAAATACTTACCACATTAGCTAAAGCTGCTTTATTATTTTTATCAACAGGAATGCTATATGGTCCCTCTAAAAGCTTTATCATATCCTCTAAAGCTTGCCTATACTGTCTAATAATAATGGTGGGATGCATTTGTTGCTCTAAAAATTGTTCGGCGGCCACCAACATTTCCCCGGCAAGTACAGTAACGGATGTGGTACCATCACCAACTTCCTCATCTTGAGTACGAGCGATTTCAATCATGCTTTTTGCAGCTGGGTGTTGTACGATAATTTCACGCAAGATCGCATTACCGTCATTTGTCATTACAATCCCACCCATGGGATCCATCAACATCTTTAACATCGCCTGTGGCCCCAGACATGTTCGAATAACGTCCGCAATTTGCTTTATTTGAAAATTAATAAAAAATGGGTGTGTTAAAAATCGACATAACCTCAAATTTTTTAAAATAGTTTTCGGGGCTTAAAAGTGAATGACGTGATTGTGGGGGTGAATGGAAACATGAAAATTTGATGAAAAGTGCGATTCTTAGCGTATAATCAGCAATAAAGACACGTGCTTACCTTTCCGGCATTGATGTTCTCCAACTGCACCTTTTTGCCGCTATCACGTTTTGTGTTTTGGCCTGTAAGAAAAAAGCTGGTTGGTAAAGGGTTAATCACGAGATAAATAACAAGTATACTTAGGACTAAAATAGGTGCACGTCCAGGATACATCTTTCTTCGTAGATTTTTATATAAGGCGACAAATTATAACCGCAAATTGACACACGCGTGAGCGAAACGTTCTCGAATAATACAGGCTACGTTCAGTAAATAATTTGACAGGAAAATAATTTGTAATCAAATTTTTACTTTATTTACTTATGGCGATTTATAAAATTGTAATTAAATAATTGTTTATAATCATAAAAATACATTTGTGTTAATATAATTATAAAAATTTTAAATCTATTCTATAATAAACATAACCTTTAAATCATTTATGTCAAATACAAAAACATAACCTCAATATTACTTATTAATTAAAAATTTTAAAATAGCTCAAAAAGAAAATCTCAATAAGAATGGAAAATTTAATTCCTCCGATTCTTCCCGATATCAATCAAGACTTGTATAATTATATAGTTTGTATTGACAAACTTCCCATTCATCAGTATGAAGAAAATCAGGAATTGTGGCCTAGAAAACCGAATGTACCCGCTTTATTTCATTGCGATGGATCACCATTAGCTTCTACTTTAAAGGTAGCGTTTATTTGATTCAATTTTATTTATTAATTTCATATAAAGTGAGATATTTATTTAGATTTTTTTTAAATGAAACAATTTAGGTTGTAAGAAATTTAGAAACGGGGGCAATAGAAGATTTTATTGAAGTTCCTATCGAGGGTGTAGGTGAAACTGCAAGAAATTCAACTTCATTAACAAGAGCCCCTGCACCAGCTTCAGAATCAATTCGTGGAAACGCCATGAATTTTCCATTTTGGCCAGCTGGTTATCCTAATCCATTTGAAGATTTAGAGGCGAAAGAAGAAAATATTTTATCTGGTAATTTTCAATTCAATAACATTTCTAATATAAATAAAAATAATTAATTTTAGGAGAGATTTTAACAGTTCCTCCAGGATTTAAAAGAGGATTAGTTTTTGAACCTGATGGTGTAACAATTTGTAAAAACCCAATTGCTTATGATAAATGTTTTGATATAAGACAAACAAATAATGTAATTGATATAGTGGACATTGTAAATAAAGAAAAAGACTTTATGGGAATTTGGAATAATAATAAAAAAGAGGAGGAAAAACTACCTAAACAAAATGAAGATCTTCCTGAAGAAGAAGAAGTTTTACCAAAAGAACCACCACTATTAAAAATTTCCGAACTGACTTCAAACGTCTCTTCAAAGGCGACAAAAACAGAATGGGCTGTTTTATTAGATTGCACCAAACCGATCGATGATTTTGAAGAACGTATACCTGAAATGGCTCATAAATACAAATTCGATCTTGATATTTTTCAAAAACAAGCTATATTACAATTAGAACAGCACAATCACGTTTTCGTCGCTGCTCATACTTCCGCGGGAAAAACCGTTGTAGCAGAATACGCCATTGCTTTAAGTCAAAAACACATGACAAGAACTATTTATACATCCCCAATTAAAGCGCTATCAAACCAGAAATATCGCGATTTTAAAATGATTTTTAAAGACGTCGGTTTAATAACAGGAGATTTTCAAATTAATCAAAAAGCTGCTTGTTTAATTATGACTACAGAGATCTTAAGATCAATGTTATATTGTGGTAGTGATGTAACTAGAGATTTAGAGTTTGTAATTTTTGATGAAGTTCATTATATTAACGATAAAGAACGCGGTCACGTTTGGGAACAAGTTTTAATTTTACTCCCTGCTCATGTTTGTGTTGTACTTTTAAGTGCCACAGTACCAAATACCATGGAATTTGCCGACTGGTTAGGAAGAACGCATCAAAAAAAAGTTTATGTTGTAAGTACAGCAAAGAGACCTGTTCCATTACAACATTATTTATACACTGGAACCGGCGGGAGTACTAAAGATAATCGATTTTTGCTTTTAAATAGTTCAAATACTTGGGTTCAAGCTGGGTAATTAAATGAATCAAATAAATGAGTTATTAACTTTTATTATTGTTATTTTAGTTATACAAAAGCGAAAGATACACTTCCACCTCCAAGCGCTGTTATAAAAAAGTTTGCACCTCCTCAAGAAAAAACTTTATGGAACGCCCTAATTGGGCATCTTCAAAAACATGATTTACTCCCAGTCGTCGCTTTTACATTTTCACGAGCAAAATGTGATCAAAATGCGGATAATTTAAGAAGTTTAGATTTAACTACAGCGCGGGATAAATCGAATATTCATCGATTTTTCGAGGAATGCATAAAAAGCCTTAAAGAACCTGACCGACAAATTCCGCAAATCGTTAGAATGAGGGATATTTTGCAAAGAGGAATTGGCGTTCATCACAGCGGGGTTTTACCGATTATAAAAGAAATGGTTGAGATGTTATTTCAAAACGGTTTGGTTAAGTTACTCTTTGCCACAGAAACTTTTGCTATGGGTGTAAATATGCCAGCTAGGACGGTCATTTTTGATTCAATCCAAAAACACGACGGAGTTGAATTAAGAACTTTAGCTCCTGCTGAGTATATTCAAATGGCTGGAAGAGCTGGGAGAAGAGGATGTGATGATCAGGGTACTGTTATAATTTTGTGCAAACAAAAAATACCTGGGGAACAAATTCTAAAAGGAATGATGTTGGGAAGACCTAATCAACTAACTAGTCAGTTTAGGCTAACTTATGGAATGGTAATTTTAATAATAAATTTTTTTTCTTGTAATTCGCGTCGGTAATGAAAGCAAACGGGTGCTGTAATGACACTCCTTACAGCATCCGATGCTGTAATGCGATTTTAGTAACATTTTATGGAACCAGTTCAAGTTGGTGACATTGGGTCATTTATTTTTCTAATTGTCAATGTGACAATTTGAACTACATCTGTTGTTCGAACCTTCCGTGGGGCTTCTCTGGAAGTAGTGCATAGAAAATAGCTTTGTAGAATAGCAACTCTCTAAAAAAAATCTCATACTAAAAATTGAACGCATGTGGCGCCATCTCTTGGGTTTTTTTTGAAATTATTCAGCTAAGAACCGAACCACTAGAATACATATTGGATTGGGTTTATATATAAAAGCTTCAACCACAGAATAACTGTTTGGATCCACTATGTGGCTCCAATTAACATTCCGACTGGTTGGGAATTCCTCAGATGCAATTACACTTGTCAAATAATGCCGTTACATTTGAATTTCACTGCATCATATGACATGTGAGATTGCATCTGACGAGCTTCCAACCAGTTATAACTAAAGTCCCTAGATTTATAAAGTACCGCGGTATGACGCCATTTTTGCTCGAAAGTCAACAAAATTGTTAGTTTAATTAAATTATTTCAGTATAGACGCTAATGCCCTCTTACGGGGGGATTTCAACATACAATCAGTCCCAAGTTCTGTTAAAAAGACCTGGGGCTGAAGTAGTATTTTAATAGAACTCTGAACATTTTTTTTTTATTTCGGGAGGTGTACAGGGTGGTTCAAATTCGATGTCCGAATAGGCTATCTCGGAAACTATAAGAACTAGAAAAAAAGTAGCTTACATGTCTTGATCTCTTTTTTTAAATAAGTTCCAATGTCGAAAACCTCAAAACGCTATCGTCTTTTGTTTTTCCCCTACAGGCCAAAATTGAAAATATCGTAAAACCAGCAAGTGCAATTATCTTGGTTATTATTATAGCTGGAGTATTATAACTAAAACATTATACGGACACTTTTTTACAGAGAATTTGATGACGTAGTCAAAAAAAATTTTTCGGTTTTAGATTTTGAGATATTATCACAATGTTCGTTTTTTTAAATGGAAATAACCACTGATTATTCGCTTATTAAATTCGTTATTTTTTTCTGATTATAAAAATATAGGGTTTGACAGGTCTATTTCTTATTGTTTTAGAATAAAGCTAAAAATANCATGAGGTTGCGTGCGCAATCCGTGATCGCTTACGTCACGAAACACTCCTGCTCTTGCCCCTCGCCCACAAACTAAAATCAAAGTATTGCAGCATAGGAACTTAGACAACCTTTAATATATTATAAACTTTGATGTGAGATTGCATCTGATGAGCTTCCAACCAGTTATAACTAAAGTCCCTAGATTTACAAAGTACCGCGGTTTGCCGCCATTTTTGCTCGAAAGTCAAGCGGGAAATGAAAACTATGTCGTTCTATTGATACGCCAAAACTCCTTTCTTTTTTCTCGTGGTACTCTTAAGAGTCGTAAGCCCTTCTTACTGCTATTTTTGCAACTCCAAAGGCAACAAGACGGCAATATTTTTGTAAATAAGTGGTGAGAAGCAGTGACAAGTTGTCAAACCGCCATTTTGGCTCGAAAACAGGCGTCATGAACCGCGGTACTTTGTAAATCTAGGGACTTTAGTTATAACATTAGCTGAAACAAAGCTATAATGTCAATTATAATCTAATTAATTAATCATACCATTATTTATTATACTCTTACCGAAAAATCACTTTATTGACAACTTAGTGTCGTTTTCATTTGTCAATTCTGAACAAACTTCAACTTTTAAAATTCTTAGCGGCAAATTTAAAAAATATAACACGAATTGGAATTTATACTTTGTAAATCAAAAAAATAATACTGGTAATAATTATTATTGCTGTCTCTTATCATTCCCACTATTAACAACAAAATTGTTAAATTAATTAAATTATTTCAGTATAGACGCTAATGCCCTCTTACGGGGGGATTTCGACATACAATCAGTCCCAAGTTCTCCTATCAAAAATACCTGGGGCTGAAGCAGTATTTTAATAGAACTCTGAACAATTTCTTTTTATTTCGGGAAGTGTCACGAAACATTTTCTACAGGTGAATACATTTTGTGTTTTGACAATCTCTAATTGTCAAATCAAATTTCTATTTTCAAGTGTTACGGTGTCACCAACTGCTACATACCTATTTCCCTACATTTTCAAAATTTATTTTATTTTTGTTAAAAAAAAGGATAAAAACGCGAATTACAAAAAATAGCATAAAAAACACGTTTCAATAAGACTTAAAGCACTCATTCATTAAAAAACCACTCGTTTTTAAACTTGAATTCGTGCATTTCAAGCGTGTCTTACGAAACTAGTTTTTTAATATACTATTAATGCCCGGTTTCTCGTACATTATAATATCGAATAGATATCGGAGCAATAGTTATCGGATCGATATCTTTTGACGGCTTGGCCGGTTTCTCGTACGAAAATGCATGTAGATATCGAACCGATATTGCGCTGTTGATCGATAACTATGGCGATATCGGTCATTTGGGTTTCTGAAAGGGTCGATAGGAGATATCGGACCGATATCGGATCGATAACTATATCGCATGCAACAAGCACCGATATCGACTCGATAAGTGTGATTAATGACAGTGATGTGTGTTAAAAGATTGCAAATTTTGATTAAACTGTTCATCCAATGCTTGTTTCTTTACCATATTTGTAGATATTTTATTTCGTTTGATTTTCTATTACTGATTTTCGTTCCATAACTAATTCCACTAACAATTTTTTATCGCAAGAAATAAAATTCTTCGTTCGTTTCGACATAGCGCGCGTATTATCAAACTAATCGTTTTCGAAAAAAGGGATAGCCCAAATTTTAACAGATATCTTTTATTGTACGTTAGTATAGTCCTTTGTAAATTATTTACTTATTTAAAAAAGGAAATAATTTA